TTTGCTGAGCTATATTCTGAATTTCTTTTTCTGGATGCGTATTTTCTGCAGGATGTGTGTTGGTACTGAATGTTAGATTAGATCTAAGGCAGAAGCTCTTCCCTGTGAGGGTGCTGAGGTGCTGGCACAGGGTGCCCAAAGCCATGGCTGCCCCATCCCTGGCAGTGTTCAAGGCCAGGTTGGATGGGGTTTGGAGCAACCTGGTCTAGTGGAAGGTGTCCCTGCCCATGGCAGGGGGTTGGAACTGGATGAGCTTTAAGGTCCCTTCCAACCTGAACCAGTCTGGAATCCTATATGTCTAGGTTTATATGCCTGAACACTTCAAAACAAGGTTTGTGTCTATGAGTGTGTGGAAATCCAGCATAGGTTTGCAGCATGGTCTGAGGTTTGGAGTGCTAAAAGAAAGAAAAAATACTCCTCCAAAACATTAGTTTTGTAATTGAAATGTAAAGGTTTGTTGGTATAAAAAACGAAGGGGGAAGGTTAATTCAGCAAGAAAATTTCACTTCTTGGAATGGAAACCTTGGCTGACATTCAGGCTGTGCCTAACTTTTGTTTTTAATGCTCCCATTTCACGTAGGCCAGTGTGTGTTTTAATCAGTCCCATATCTTTATATGCAGTGTAGAACACAGAGGGTTGGGTTGCTCAGTACAAACACGTGTGTGTGCCTGACAGGAGAGTCGTGCTGTCTTTTTTGGAGTTCACCTCAGACCCTTATTTCCAGCACAAAGTTCTTTAGCTTTATGGATGTGCAGCTTTGTGGTGCAAAAGGAGGAAAGCTACCTGCACAGCCATAGTAAATTCCACTGGTGCTCTGATGTCTCCTGCAACAACAAAATGCATTTCCCCAGACAATTACTGGAATGAAATAATTTAACTGGACCAGTGGTGATACAGTCCTGTGAGGTAGTGGTGGTTCTTTTTCCCCAGCTCCCACTTCATAGGATCATGTAATAGTTAGGGTTGGAAAGGACCTTAAGATCATCTAGGTCCAACCCCCCCCGCCATGGGCAGGGACATCTCACACTAAACCATATCACCCAAGGCTTCGGCCAACCTGGCCTTGAACACTGCCAGGGATGGAGCATTCACAGCCTCCCTGGGCAACCCATTCCAGTGCCTCACCACCCTCACAGGAAAGAATTTCCTCTTTATATCCAATCTAAACTTTCTGTGTTTAAGTTTTAACCTGTTACCCCTTGTCCTATCACTACAGTCCCTAATGAAGAGTCCATCCCCAGCATCCCTATAGGTCCCCTTCAGATACTGGAAGGCTGCTCTGAGGTTTCCACGCAGCCTTCTCTTCTCCAGGCTGAACAACCCCAGCTTTCTCAGCCTGACATCTTTTCTGTGAGGTTTGCATTCAGTGTTCTTTGTCAATGTTTCTTTTAGCATTGTCTGACCAAGTAGGTAGTCTTTGTCCACACGCTTTCCAGAAGTGTGCCTTGCAGTATCTGCTTTTATGGGGCAAATCAAGATCCATGTTACCCAAGAGAATAACACAGTTACAATTGGTTGGGACTTGTGAATGCAGGATTTGGCTGGATACCCTCACTTGTCTGTTTTGTTTCAGAGTGTTAGAACAGGTACGGAATTGCAGGCACCAAATAAAGGTCTGGTCATAGTAGTGGGTGCCAAGTGGTGAGTTGTCCTTGTTTTGAGTGGTTAGACCAGAGTAGTTATGTCAATGTAAAGTATTTTTGTAAGCAGTAGACAGTTGTGTCCTTGGTTTCCAATGAATTTGCCTTGCAGATATGATTTGAATCATAGAATCACAGAATGGTTTGGATTGGAAAGAGCCTTAATATAATCCACTTGCAACCCTCTGTCACAGGCAGGGACACCTTCCACTAGACCAGGTTGATCTAAGCCCCGTCCAGCCTGGCCTTGAACACTGCCAGTTTGAACCCATCACCCCTTGTCCTATCACTACAGTCCCTGATGAAGAGTCCCTCTCCCGCATCCTTGTAGCCCCCTTCAGACACTGGAAGCTGCTCTGAGGTCTCCACACAGCTTCTCTTCTTCAGGCTGAACAGCCCCAATGTTCTCAGCCTGTCTTAGTGTGGGAGGTGCTCCAGATCCTGATCATCCCTTATTATTTGATTTTGAACTGAGTTACACCACGTCTGAAATGTGAGCTCTGCCCTCAGTGTACACTGAAAATGACTTGGGTGGTGGGTGTATTCTCTGGTACCAGGCCATAACACAGATCTTGCTGCAGCCTTTTTATCAATGAAGAGGAACTCTGTTGATGGACTTCCTTCAGCTTTCCATCATGATTACACATGGAGGAGTGTAGTATTTTGAACACCTCTACCTTCTGTCAAGGTTGGCCAAAACTAACCAATGAATTAAGGTGAATGTAGCTGCTGGAGATGCAAATATGCCTACAGAAACACAAAGAGGAATGTTATGAAATCAGATTAAAAGTGGGTCATTGCAGCTGCTCCACTAACCAGTTTAATTACAGTCATTTTGTTTCTTGTTTTGGATGTGTCTCTCTCCCCTTCAGGTCAGTCTTTTCCTGTTAAGTGGGCTGTTTCCTATCTGCTTCTTACTTAAATCTCCAGGATATCCTGCTCTGTAAAGAAGATTGACACCCCCACACCAGTACTTATGCCAGCAGGGAAGGGAGCAGCCACCTTCAGACACCAGCAGGCACGACCCAAGAGTGCAAGGAGGGACTGGTGACATGCCCTGTATTGTTTCCTCTGCCTTCTGGGTGCCAGGTCCTTAGTGTAACTGCACTGATGTCATTGCAGCTCTGCAGTTTTATGCCAGTTAATGCCCTCCCCCTTAGTCAAATGCTATTGCATAAGAGGGAGCGATGCATCATCTAAAAAGCTTTTGACCCACAGCTGACCACTCGTGCCTGACACATGGGTGGTGCTGTTTTCACCTAGCAAATATTTATAAGCCTACATAATAGGATAGGGAATGCTGCAGAGGAACAGGGTTGTGCTCTGAAAAATACTGGGCAAAATGTTCTGTGGTCAGGAAGGACTAGATCAGTTGTTACAGAAGCTCTTCCTGTTTTGAAACCTCAGGAAACCAATTAAGGCCCACTGTCAGCTTTCTTTGCCATAGGAAGTGAGAGCTCTGAACCTTTCCATGACATGGACTGTGTTTCCAAGGACCACATTGGAAGGACCATGGAGCGGAGAAGTACCTTTCTTCCCATATTGCAGAGAAGGCAGGTAGAAAACATTTCAGCACATTAAGGTGTCCCTGCCCATGGCAAGGGCCTGGAACTAGATGATCTTTAAGGTCCTTTCCAACTTAAAGCACCCTGTGATTCCATGATTCTCCTTGTGTGTTTGCCCAGGTCTAAAGATCCCTTTTACCTCTGGGAAGGGAGGAGATAACTGTTTCATGGGTGGGAGCTGATGCAAGGGAGGGGGAAGCTGTGAGATCGTGCTCCCTGTACTGAGGAAGGGGGTGACTGGGAGCAGACAGGAACTCAACTCCCAACTGCCTTCTTTTCCAGGATTTCTGTTCATGCCTGCAGTTGGCCTGGTCACTTTTCCTGGCATGCCTCTTTCATAGTCTTTGTGCCTCTGGAACCTTGAACTGGGGCTTGTTCCAGCCATTGGGAAGGATAGGCAGGATCTCCTGGTTTGTCTTAGCTCTTTTCTCCCATTGTGTGTGGAAGAACATTTTGTTTGGCCACGTTTTGGTTTTCCAATGCCCGTATTGCACAGTCTTCTCACTTAAGCTCCTTTCAGCAACAGTTACTGAAGTGAACAAATACGGCTGATATTACTACTTGTGTTTAGACATGGAAACATTGACTTACTGGGTTCTCTTCTTGCTTTTTTTCACTGGCACCCAAACTCAGCAAGGAAGTGTGGTGCTTTATATGGCCACTCAGTAGAATCAAGATAGGAATCCTGGGTAAGTCATAGTGTTGCTTTAGGGTAAAAGTCTAGTTTTGGCACAACAAACAGTTGTGCTGTGCTGGCCTCCTCTTCCTGAAACAACTCAGTTGTGGTGGGGATTTTACAGGCCAAGGGCCTTCCTTGGACACCACATGGTCCATGAGACACTTGTGTTGTAACAACTGGCATCAAAATACGGAAACAAACTAACAGGTAACAAAAAACAGGTATTAAGAGGAACATCGCACCAGTAAGATTAATTATAGCCTTTTCTTTGTACCTCCCATGTTTCTATCTCTGTGGCTTTGTTAAGGTTTGCTTTGTTTCAAATGGAAAAGAGTACAGGCTTACATCAGGATAATTTCCAAACATGAATACATAGGGCAGAAAGATTAATGTTTTATTCATCCAAACGCCTGCTTCAGCCATGCCAATGTAGTAATTTTGGGAGTGAAAGAAAGGAGGAAGATGTAATAATTTGACCTAATTACGTGTGTACTTCGAAAGTTTGTAAGATTTTCATTACAGCTTAATTTCACTATTGTTGAGCTTGAATGATAACAAAAGCACAGAAGTACAACAGCACATTTTCTGAAGATTCAGTACTTTGTCTGCAAATTTGGCTGTACCATTGCAGGCAGAATGACTGTTTTTGAGAACAAATGTTCCCAGGTTCCTATTTGAAAGTTTGGGTCCCCAGATGTGGTTGTTTTAGCAAAGTGTCTGAGGCTTTAGATTGATTTATCTTAGTTCATTGAATTTAACGAAGGAATGATTTTCTGCAAGTGCTAGGTATAGAATAGAAACACAGAACAGTTTGGGTTGGAAAGGACCGTAAGATCATCCAGTTCCAACCCCCTGCAATGGTATAACTCGCTTGTCATTGTTCTAAGCAAGGGAAGTGGTGCAAGGTATATTTATCCAACCAGGGATGCTGCTACAGAGCTTAAAATAGAGCGGTGTCCTCTTACATGTATTGGGAACAGTGGGTTCTGAGGAGGGGATGTTTCTCATGCTAAAACCAATATTAACTGTTTAAGTAGTTCTGATGAGTTATAAATATGCTTCAATGCCAGAGAATCAAACATACATCATTTTTTGCCTCCTTGGCCTGTGCCTAGTCTGTGTCTTGAAATAACCTCTCTGAAATGGAAAAGTTATTGTACCGTTTTACTCCGCAGCCTGTGGGGAAGATCTGGCAGAGGGTTTGGGAGGGAAAGTCCCATGTCATCAGAACCGACGTCAGGGTCACAAGGTGAATGGCATGAACTGCCAGCCTGTGTCCTGCTGTCAGACCAACTGTGTTGTAACTCCTGCAAGGGAAAATTGCTCTCTGAGGTTTGCTCAGGAGTTTTGAAGGATCTAACTGAAGAAATAACTGAAATGGAAACTCAAATCTAGACGGAAATAGAAAGGAGGTTTCTGGAAAAGAGTTGGCCTTGTGGGAATTTATTGCTAACCAGGATCTAAAATGCCAAAGCACCTCTCTTCTGCTTCTTTGGGATTATAAAGTTTTTTTTTTCATGTTGACTTTTACAGAATTGCAGGTATCATAGAGAAGAATCATCTTCATTAGCCCAATGATCATCAAGGGCATGAACTCTGCTGTTTCAACCTAAATGGATGAGAAGGTCAGCCGCCCATAAGGAGAGCCCCTTTCGTGTTCAGGATGGCAGCAAGTGGTGGTGAAAGCCAGTTGCAGCGGATTATCAGGGACTTGCAAGGTACAGTGCCATGCTGGCAGCTTCATTCTGTAGGTTGGAAAGCACCTCTGCATTTGGAAACAGAGAAGGAGTTGTGTTTTCACTTGCGTAGCTCTTGTGCAGCAATTGTACCAACATCGTTCAAGGTGTGTGATGTGCTCAACAGAGATGTGGCTGATGTTTCTTGTGAGAGATGTTCTGTACCTTCTGCAGCTCCTTACATTCTTAAATCCTGCAAATTTAAACATGCAAGATGAGAAATAAGTTTTACAATGTAAAAAAGAAGTGTGTTTGGGGTGTGTGGTGTGAGCTAGGACTTTGTTGGCTATGCTGTTACAAGACTTAATGTGACATAAGGAGGCCTGATTTTTACACCCTCCCTTGCTGGGAAGCTGGTGAGGAGTTGTTGCTAATGTGGGAAGGATAAAAACCAAGAGGCCAAACCAATCTTGGAATGGAGACACGGAGGAAGAGTGCTGAGTATGGGATCTGCTGTTCTTGGAATGTGCTTTCTGTGCACCTGACTTGTCCTCCGCTACCAGTAGCCAGCTTAATTTTCCACAGCTCTGTTGCAGGCAGGCAGAGAGTCGTAACTGTTTTGCTTTGCTCTGTCTCTGTCCTAACCAGCTGTCTGTACCAAGATCCAGATATTTCTCCTTTTAATTTTGGTTAAATGTAAAGTGTGAAGTTGGGAATCTAGATCTCCCTTTAACATAATAAAAGAGATATGTGCCTAAAGGAAGAGACTTTTCTTCACAAGGGGATCAAGTGGGACTGTGAGCTAAGGCTCACTCAGGCACCTGGAAGAATTAAAAAATCAAGTGGAAAGCAAGCTCAAAACCAGCAATTTCTGATGCTGAGAAGTGCACCCTTTGGGGGCCAGAGTGTCCAGGAAGATTACAGAGTTTGCTTTGACTTGGGATTTCCTTACCCACTAAGGGTGTAGGTTTTAGGGAAGAGCAGTTGCTCTCTGCTTATTTTAATGTAAATTATTTTCCCCATTTGTGTTTGTAACCAGCACAAGCTGAACCTTCCTGAATAAAGCGTGGAGAAGATAAATGTGCTGACTGAGAGACTGTTCTCGTGTTACTGATCCCCTCTAGCAGATGACATGCTTTGTCCTTTCTAATCAGAATCTGCTTTGTCCTGTGGCACTACCTTAATGTGCACACGAGGCAGCAGAAAGTTATTGCTCTTTCCTCTGCTGAAGAACCAGTTACCAACTGTCTGTTACTCGTTTTTGCTAAGTATCAGAAGGAGGTTTTTCTCTTCTCAAGAAGAATTAGCCCGTGCAACAGATTGCTGTAACTTAAGCTTTATGTTTTTTTGTAGGTCATCTTAAATTGCAGGCATACTAGGAAGCTTTTTGCGCTGTCCTTAAGACATTTTGCCTGAAAGAAACTAGATACACATGTAATGTCCATGCAGAAAAGCCATTCATTTAGTCATTTATGGATTCAGTGCTGTATATCTGTTGCAGTAGTTAACCATTTTGGTGTCTTGTTTTCAAGATGCTGTGACTGAATTAAGCAAAGAATTTAAAGAAGGAGGGGAACCCATCACAGATGACAGTGTCAACTTGCAAAAATTCTCCTACAAGCTCGAGTACCTTCTACAGGTAAAAAGTGATGTGTGCCATTTGTAATCCACCATCAAAGCCAGGCCTTGCTTTCTCTTCTTGCCACTTCAGTATGTGGGATTCAACTCAAATAATCATAAATACCCGTCTGAGTCTCCCTATTTTCAGTAAGAACTGAAGTATGTGCTACTTATCGTACATACTTCAAGTGACAGTAAATAAATGTGATCAAAAGGCCGTGCTGGCAGTTTGACTGAAGAATGCAAGGCATTTTTTAATTGATCTGAAAGATTTAAGCTTGAGTTTAAAGATATCTCCTAATAAATTACCATGGAAAAAAACGATGGTAATAAGATCTTGACAACATTTTAACACAAAATAAATACTAATGAGGTGTTCACAATGCAAATATAGTGCTGTAACTGACAGAATTTGTAGCAACTTCACTTTGGAGATTCATTTTAATTGTATGGAAGGCTTAATAGAAAAGGCTGATTATTCCTTTGGCATGCTGCTCTTTGTCCATCCTCAGAATTTAAGTAAAAAGAGGACACTGCTAGGCAAACTGAAATCCAATTTGCATATGTTCATGTCTACACATAGTGCATCCATGTCACTGATTGTGACAAAGACATGCTAATCTAGCCTTAATCTAGGCAAAGGGAGTTTTAAGTGGGTTGCAGAAGCTTCAGCAGAAGCTCTTCAGCTTTTCTTTGGGATTTGGATGGTCCAAGCTACAGTCCATACCCTCACAGTATTGCTGCTCTGAAGGTGATTTAGATAGAGCAGTTTTTTCTGGTACATACATGTGTGCTGTTGCCACACTTGATTCCATGTCTCTCAGCAACTGATTGTCGCACTTAGACAGCTGCTGAATCTGCTGCAAATCTTTGTTTCAGCAGTTCTGAATGAATGTCTGTATTTTAACTACACCCAGAGTGTTATTATCTGTTACTGTCTGTAAAATAGCTTATGGATCTGATGGATTCCATCAGTGTCTCTTTCCTTTGTGGATACATTGGCTAAAAAAAAAGAGGAGACACGAAAGCATGTTGCTGGGAGAGGAAGAGAATTCCAAGTAGCTAAATATAACTATATTTGTATTTAAGTTTTGCTCATTGCATTTTCTCTCACTTAAGTTTGACCAGAAAGAAAAGAGCTCGTTGCTGGGGAACAGAAAAGACTACTGGGATTACTTCTGTGACTGTCTAGCAAAAGTCAAGGGAGCTAATGATGGAATCCGCTTCGTCAAGTCTATTACAGAAGTGAGTATATGAGTTCAGCATCATAATATATGGCTTTACATTCTGCTGTGTCTTTGAGAGCAGTAGAAACCAGATGAAAATACACTGCTTATAACATACAGCCAAAAAAGTTGGGAATTTTTATTTTTAATTCTCATTTAAAGCAGCGTGAGCAGCAGGTCAAGGCAGGTGATCCTGCCCCTCTGCTCTGCTCTCATGAGACCCCACTTGCAGCACTGTGTTCTGGTGTCCTTAATGTAAGAAGGACATGGAGCTGTTGGAACAAGTCCAAAGGAAGCCACCAGGATGCTCAGGGGCTGGAGCACCTCCCATAAGAAGAAAGGCTGAGAACGCTGGGGCTTAGCCTGGAGAAGAGAAGCTGCGTGGAGACCTCAGAGCAGCTTCCAGTGTCTGAAGGGGGCTACAAGGATGCTGGAGAGGGACTCTTCATCAGGGACTGTAGCGATAGGACAAGGGGTGATGGGTTCAAACTGAAAGAGGGGAAGTTCAGGTTAGATCCAAGGCAGAAGCTCTTCCCTGTGAGGGTGCTGAGGCTCTGGCACAGGATGTCCAGAGAAGCTGTGGCTGCCTCATCCTTGCCAGTGTTCAAGTCCAGGATGGAGGGGGCTTGGAGCAGGCGGGTCTAGTGTGAGATGTCCCTGCCCATGGCATGGAGTTGGAACTGGATGGTCTTAAGGTCCTTTCCAAACCTTTATGATTCTATCAAAATGCCAAGTTACTCTTTTTACTAGAGCACTAAATTATATAGGATCAAATAGTCTGATTCTTACTTTATTTTTAAGACCACTTACGCAAGTGGTGGTCGTGTGTGTCTCTGGTTCTGCCTTGCCTTTTCATAAACTTAGTGCTATTTTCTCTTAAAAGGAGTGAAAAATTAAGTCAAGGGTAGAGCCGGCCATCCTTAGCATAGCTCACAGCAGGACTGGGCACTAAGTGTAAGAGGAAAGATTCACCATATTTGACACTTTTAAAGACTTTTTCAGCTGATCAGTAGAGTTGAGAATGACTGGCTGATTTCTTTAGAACTCAAACCAGAAAGCAGCAAAAGGTGTTGCTCCTTTGCTCCACATTTATTTCCTTGTTCCATTTATAAAGAACATTTTTGTGTATAGTGTATCACTGAGTTAAATGAGGAACCTGAGTCTGACTTGAGCGCAGAAGCCCAGTAACAGCATGGAATGCTGATGAAGAAGGAAGGAAAGTGTGGCCTTTGAGCCTTCTTTCACACTAACTGTTCAACCAATATTCACAGTAACCTACTAACTTGTGCCTCAGCCCCTCTCATGTTGGATTCCATTTCTGAGTCCTGAGTATATTTGGTTTGTTAGTTGGATGGACAGTTTGGTCTGGAGCATGGCTGCCTGGTGAGAGATTCTTTCATCACTATCAGTTTCCATTCCTAAATTGATCAGTGACTTTGATGGCTAGGAGAAATAAAACACTGCTGTTTAGTGTTTCACTGTTTTGCAGGACAGCAAATAGCTCAGATGTAAAAGACAAACCAAAATCTCAATTCCCCAAGTCAAGAGCTGTAACAAAGTTAAATACTGAGTTTTGTGATGCCCTTTATGTTGATTTAACAGCTGTCTTCATGGAAAGAGCCATTAATTTGGGTCATGCAGCTGCTCTTGGTCTGAAGTAAGAATTAGGTTTTTATTAACTTAATGGCTTAAGTATTAAGAAAGGGTTAGTGAGTCTGTGGGGATGTGTATTTGTGTATGTGTACATCTTTGTTCTGAGACTAGAGCTGCCCTAAAGCTCTTCCAGCTGTGGCCAGGCACATCCCAAGTAACCTAAGCAGTCAATTCTGGCTTTGCTGGGCACATTGGGATTTTGCTTTTTGTTGGGAATTGTCCTTAGCATAGGCTGTACTCATGTACTCAATATATTAAATGAATCATTGGTCCTGTGATGCCTTTTACACTATTATAATGTGGACATCAGCCAGCTGTAGGTGCACATTCATCATTCAAAAAGGATTCCAGCCAGTGGCAGTGTTGGAAGAAGATGTCTCAGTTCTTACTACTTCCTTTACAACTAGTGGCTTATTGTGAGTGGTTGTGTGTTGATATGTAGACTGCTGTGGCCATGTCTCTGCATTACAGATGATACTTAGGATTTTCTTTTCTTGTGGTTTCTCCCTTTCAGCTACGAACATCTCTTGGAAAAGGAAGAGCATTTCTTCGTTACTCCCTCGTGCACCAGAGGCTAGCAGACACCTTGCAGCAATGTTTTATGAACACCAAGGTGACCAGGTGAATAGCAGAGTACCTTGTTCACTAATGGGTGTTTGCTCAGTGTGATCAGGCAGCATCACAGAGTAGCTGTTGAAAGGAATTGAAACCCTTCCAAATGGTTGGCTTAGAGAGATGGTAATAGGATAGGAAGGATAACAGACCTTTTGGCCTCGGTCACTGGTTCATACCTATTTTAGGCTGGTAAAGATTGAAAGTTGTTACAGCTAAATGTCTGTGGAGTGGGAGGTGCTGATGCTTCTGTCTGTTGGTTTCAAAGGTGACATTTTTAGAAGCATTGAAGATCCTGGGTTTGATCTTCTGTGCTGGACATCATAAAGGAGGATTGATTTGAATGTGTTACTTAAAGCTCCAGAAAGCATTTGCCTATATCCCTGGGTTGTCACACAGAGGAGCAGCTTGCCCCTGGCCAAGGAACACCAAAGATAGATAGTTTGTAGTTGATTGAGGGAGGCATTGCTATGGCTTGTAGAAAAAGCCATCTGTTTATGCAGTGTATTTAACTCTGCTGCGTTCTGTCCCTCATTTCTGATGTTTTAAGTGTGTGCTTTAGGTATCTACTGTGTGATTATCCAGTGTATAGCAAGTATTTTGTCTTGCTGGTGTTTTGCCCAAGCACTAGAGCAAAAAATACCATGTGCGGGGGCTCCTCTAAAGGTACTTCTGTGGACTTCATTAGAACTGTTTAATTTCATTCATATCAAAGAGGTGGGTTGTTTCAGTTTGTGTTAGTACAGTGTATCATAATTTTTCTGGGATGGAGTGAAAATGATGCTTTTTGTGAGTGAAACTGCTGCTTCTTTTTTACTTATGAATGAGTTTTGTGACTATTACTTACTTTATTTTTGTGTCTGTTTTGTTTTCAAGTGACTGGTACTATGCAAGAAGTCCATTTCTCAATTCCAGGATGAGTTCTGACATTGTGGGTCATCTCTATGAGCTGACTGACGTTCAGTTTGACTTGGCATCAAGAGGCTATGATTTAGATGCTGCCTGGCCAGCATTTGCCAGGTACGATAGAACTACTTTGTCATCTAGTATTAACAGGGCCATAAAATGTGGCATAAAATTCTTTAGAGTCTGTTAAAGCTTCTGCTTTTGAAGGTAGGAATATTTGTGTTAGAGCAGTATATGCTTTCTCCATGTAATTAGTCTATGATCAAATTGACCTTTATTTCTTTCAATATACTGTGTACCAGAGATCAGAGTTGATGCTCTGTAATGGAGTACTTCCGGTAAGGGCAGCTTAGGCCCAAGCTATTGTCATCTTCACAGGAACAAGAACAAATACTCTTAGCTCCTTCTGTTTTAAGAGCTGAGACATGCGGTGACTGAAAAGCCAAGCAGTGTGCTTCACTTGTAGCAATGGTAGAGATGACAGTATGTGGTCACTTACAGCCTCATCCTACTTCAAAGAGGTGGATAACTTCTAGGCCTGGTCCAGATCCATTTTCCAGTGGGTGTTTTCGAGGGCTGCATGCTGCCACCACCTGGTTGAGCCGCCACTGAACAGCAATAAATTGCTTAGAGCAGAGCTGCCTTGTGCTTCTCCTGGACGTGGGAAGTCATGGCTGCCAAATCCCATAAGCTTTCTTGGTATCCCTAGTTTGTTTTCCATCCACTTCAGTGGTTGTCGGCCCCACAACAGCAGATGCTGTGATGTCTTTTGGTATGGTAGTTCCAGCTCAACAAATGTCACATGTGAGAGTAGGAAGACATGCACGTATGTGCTTAGACTTCTCTTATAGCTTGTTTCTCTGTGTGATCAACAGGAGGACACTGTCATCACTTGGATCTTCTGCATATTTATGGAAGCCCCCAAGTCGCAGTTCCAGCATGAGCAGTTTAGTGAGCAGTTATTTGCAGGTAAGCGTATTACAAAGAAATGTTTATGTGACATAGGAGGTCCGTAATTAATGGCATCATTCCAGAGTGCTTGATAGCTTTATGGTGATTCTGACTCATGTAATGGTAAACTACAAAAAAGAGTTCTCAGTTAAAAGTAAAGAGACTTGTCCAGTAGCTGATTCATCTGAACATGCAGACATTGTATCTGCCTGCAGATAGAATCATGAATCATAGAATGATCTTAGGTCGGAAAAGACCTTTTAAGATCATCAAGTCCAACCATTACCCCAGCACTGCCAAGAGCACCACTAAACCTTAGGGCCTCATCTACATGCTTTTTCATTTATCTTCTGTGAAAAAAGCCCCATTTCCTGGGAGTTGATATCTTGCAGTGCTGCGAGTGCAACATACAACACCACTGTGCGTTAGAAACCTGAATTTAATTTACTCTCATCTGAGCACACCATTTAAATGCATTCTTAAACTTTCTGCTTTTTCCCCTTTTGTTTGTTTAGGCCCAGGAGTTCCCCTCCAGCCCTGATGCAAATAACTCACTAAATGTTGAACACTTTGAGGGCTTTGAAGAGTTGCGTGTAGAACTTGACCAGGCTGAGTTGAGGCAGAGGGAACTTCAAGATCGTATTCACCAGCTAGAAATGGAAAACCAAGAGCTCCAGGCAACTGTCAGCCTTCAGAAGGAACAAGTACAGGTAGAAAAGGAGAAGAGCAATAACTACAATGAAGAGAACTCCCGGCTGACAAAGATGATCACAGAGTTACAGAAACAGTGTGAGGTCTCACACTCCACTCAGAGCACTGTTCATGACCTGCAGAAGTGCCTGCAGTCACTGGAGCTGAATGCAGTGGAGCAACAGAAGGAATATTCAACAAAACTGGAGCAGCTCATGGCCAGCAAGGAAGACTGTGCCTCAAAACTGCAGGTGTTGAATCAGGAGCTGGAGGCCTCTAAGGCTTTGGTTGCTATGAAGGATCATTGCATTGACGAGCTCAAAGCCAAGCTGAGTTCCACAGAACAGAAGAACCTCAGCCTCCTTGCAAAAGTTGATGCTGCCTTGGAGGAAAGGGGACAACAAGCCACAGCCCACTGTGATTCTGCCCTACAGGTACAGGCACTGTTAGAGAAGCTTCAGGAATCAGAAAAGGAAAAGGCAGGCATGCAAAGACTCAATAATGAGCAAGCATCTCAGCTGAAGGCAGCGAGGGAGGAGCTGCAGCTGAAAGAAGAGGCACAGAAGGAGCTGGAATCTAGATACAATCACCTCACTGCTGACTCCAGAGAAGAGGGTGAAAAGCTGCTTGGGAGGCTGGAATCCATGGCAAAGGAAATGGAAGCACTTCAGAAGGCCCTAACCCTGAAAGAAAAGGAAGTGTCTGAGCTCCAGACCCAGGTAATGGGGTCGCTGGCTCAGGTGGGGTCACTGGAAAAAAGTCTTGAGGAAGCAAGGAAAGAAAAAGAGAAACTTGAGGAGGAATATGGTAGGAAGGAAGGAGCACTGAAACAGGAAGCCCAGTCACAAGCAGAGCAACTTGAACTGCAGGAGGGTCACTTAGCAAAGGTGAGTCAGACTGTGTGTAGCCTTGAGGAGCAAAACCGGAATCTCTTGTCTGAGAAGGAGCGTCTCAGCCAGAGAGTCAAGGAGCTGGAGGAGCAGATGGAGCAGCAAAACTCTGCAGTGAGTGAAATGAGTGAGGAGGGCAGGAAGCTGAAAGCAGAGAATGTGGATTTGCAGCAGTCCAAGAAGAAGATGGAAGGGAAGCTGAAAAATTTGGAAGCTTCTAAAGCCTCCCTGGAAGCTGAGGTAGCCAGGCTGAGAGCCTCTGAGAAACAGCTTCAGAGTGAGATAGATGATGCCCTGGTGTCAGTTGATGAAAAAGAGAAGAAGCTCCGGAGTGAGAACAAACAGCTGGATGAAGACTTGCAGAACGCCAGGAGGCAAAGCCAAATCCTGGAGGAGAGATTAGAGGCTCTGCAGTCAGACTATGAAGAACTAAAGCAAAGAGAAGAGACCACCAAGGAGTCCTACGCCTCACTTGAAGGGCAGCTGAAGAGTGCCAAACAGCACAGTTTACAAGTGGAAAAAAGCTTAGGCACTTTGAAGGAAAGCAAAGAGTGTCTCCAGACACAGCTCTCAGAGAAGGAACTAAAACTGCAAGACATGGAGAGCCAGTGTGAGCAGCTAAGAGCAGAAGCTGAAAGACATAGGAAGAAGTCAGAGGCTCTTGAGGTAGAAAAGCTCAGTGTTGAAAAGACATGCCTTCATCAGACAAAGCTTATAGAATCCCTTACATCAGAAAAGGAATCTGTGGAAGAACACCAACTACAGCAGGCAGCTGCTCTGGAGAAGGAGGCAAAAGAGCTGACCTCCAGACTGGCCATGAGTGAAGAGCAGCTGGAGGTCAGCCGTGGTGAAGTGTCTAGGCTGCAAGCAGAGGTCCTGGACCTGCGAGTCAAGCTTCAGCAGACCACTGATGAGAGGGAGCAGATGAGAGGTGAGCTGGCAATCACAGAGGCTTCCTTTGGTGAGCAGAAGGCGCTTGTCCAGCAGCTTAAAGAACAGAGCGAGTCACTCAATAGAAACCATGTGCAAGAACTGGTGCAATGTAAAGAAAGAGAAGAAGTGCTGAAAAAAGAGCAGGAGACAGCAGCCCACCAAAAAGCTCAGCTAGAAAATGATTTGCTGAGCATGAAGGAAGAGCTATCCAAGGTTAAGCAGTGCCTGGAAGTTGCAAGAATGGAAAATGAAGAAAACAAAGATCTCCTCCACAGGACCAACACAGATATGGCTGAACTTGGTATTCAGATTTGTGCCTTGACCTCTGAAAAGGTGGATGCAGAAGAGCAGTTAGCCCAGGCTACAAAAAGCCTCAAAGAACTGGAAGAACAGGCAGCCAAGCAACAGGAGAAGCTGAAGCTTGATATCTCTAATCTCAGACAGGAGAACAAGAGCCTTCAAGAGAAATTAGAGGAGGCTCAAGTATGTGCCTCAGCTGTCCCAGGTCTGCAATTGCAGCTGGAGACAGCAATGAAACAGGCACAGAGTTTCCAAGAGACCAGCCAAGAAGAGCTGTCTGCAATAAAATTTCAAATGAGCACAGAGATTCTAAATTGTCAGACAAAATTCAAGGTAAATGAATGTGATGATTACAGCTGAGGGAGCTGTGCAGGATTTCCCCTGCTTTACCATCTGCTGCAGCAATAACTGCGTGAAACCATGAGGTTTGTGATCGTCAGGCTCTGAGACTAGCACACAGCTAGTCTTAACCTGGGAGTCTTAAAATGCCTCTACACTTATTACCTAGGACTATTTGAGGTAAAATCACAGAATCATTAGGGTTGAAGTGACCTCTGGAGATCATCTGGTCCAGCCTAAGTGGACTGGGGCCAAGGCAGGGCCACCGAGAGCAGGTCACACAGGAACGTGTCCAGATGGGTTTGAATGTCTCCAGAGAGGGAGACTCCACAACCCCCCTGTGCAGCCTGTTCAGTGCTCTGACACCCTCAGTGTAAAGAAGTTCTTCCTCATGCTGAGGTGAGACTTGTTGTGTGTTAGTTTATGGCCATTGCTCCTCGTCCTGTTGCTGGGCACCACTGGAAGGAGTCTGGCACCATCCTCCTGGCACTCTTCTAGTATTTTGGAGGTGTGTATTGTGGCCATCTGAGTACAGTGGAGAGGCCATGTGATATAGAAAAACCCACCAGTAACAGAGAGGGTGTTGGCACTTTAGGTGGTGTATTATGGAACTATTCCCTCTGGTCACAGCTGCGATTTCTTTCTCTTTTGGTAGGAACATTGCAAGACCTGTTCCCCACACCCACAGTGCTACTTCTCCTTAAAACTAATATTGATGAAAGCAAACCTAGACTGAGACCAGATACTTTTGCAGTTAATTCCCTCATGTAGTTTTGTGTTCAACTGTTCAAAGTAGGAGCAGAGAAGGTCAAAGTTTTGCTTCCCGAAAACCTAAGTCAGGCCTGCGTATGTGAAACAGCACACCTAAAGGCTGAAGGTTTCATTGTGTTTGTGCTGCCGTGCTGAGATCATGGCTAAGAATGGCAATCGTTCAGCAGCATATGCCACTGATGGCATCCAGAAATCCCACAGGTTTGAAAGAACAGCACACATTCACCTATGTTTCATTTCCATAAAGGCATAGTAAACCTTGGTATGATTTGGGTTATCTCCCTCTTTTGAGCCAAAGCATTTTGATAGTTGAGCTGCCTTTTTGTTGAGAGCTGTAATGGGAACAGTAAACCACAGCTAGTCTGCCACAACACAGGGGTATTTCCTTGCATCCAGGAGTTGTGTTTCTCCTTGGCTGTCTGTCACAAAGCTGACAGCGGTGCTGTGTTTATCCCATACATGGCAGTAGGATCACTCTTGATTTACAGCTAGGAATCTCATAGAGGTTCCCAGTGGTTACTGCTTCTCATGCGAAAGTGCCTCAGCTGAGAACATCACATCTCAGGAGGGCACATCTAAACAGGAGGCCAGTGTCCACAGAGCAACAAGTGAAGGGAGAAAAATGGTCAGAGGGAAACAACTGCTCTGTGGCATCGGTGACAGATACAAAAGGGAATTTATCTAGGGTTATACTAACAGGAGCACTCCCAGGAGCCCGAGGGCAGTGGTTATCCCTCTTTACTCAGTACTAATAAGGCCATGTCTGAAATACTGTATTCAAAACCATCAGTAACCTGCAGCTTTATCACCAGAAAGCCCTCAGGATGGTCAGTGCTGGAGCACTTTCTGTGCGCAGGAAGGCTGAGGAATGGGGCTTATTCAGCCTGGAGAAGACACAGCTTCATGGGGACCAAAGAGCAGCCTCCCAGCACCTTCAGAGAGTTACTAAGAAGACAGAGCTGGGCTTTTTACAGGAGTGCAGAGATGGGAGGGGCCACGAAAGACAACAGACAAATGGGAAAGAGCAAGGGTGGCTGTTAGAGGAATGCTAACTCCTGGCTCCATCTCTCTGCTAGGCTGTCAGTGAAGAATGTGGGAAAGTAAAAGAGCAACTAGAGGAGCAGAAGCGACAACAGCGTGCTGCAGAGGAAGAGATTGCAGAGTTACAAGTAGGTGCTTGATCTGATTAAAAGACAGAGGTGTTTGTGTCAGCAGGCATTAGTGTTCTCTCTGAGAAGGCAGCACCATTTCTGGTGACTGGATGTAATGCTGGGAATGTCCCTGAATAAATACAAGTGTGGCAGACAAAATACTTGGCAGCTGAAAGTCAGCCACTGAAACAGAGATTACAAAAAGCACAACAGCACTTAGGATTTGTCCTGCAGTGAAAGCTAGTTAGGGTTTAAGTAAAACCTGGCTATGTGTACACTTCAGAATGGGCGTGCAGGTTTAAAAGGTGTCTGTCTTAGGCCCTGCTTGCCCACTGCACACAGCCATGTGTGTGGATCCAACTGCACAAGGCTGCAAAGCACACTGAATCCGAAAATTAATCTGGTTGGGAAATAATCCAGGTGGGAAGAAAACATGATGTTTGCAATGCATTTATCAAACAGTTGCATTAGGAGGGGTGTAAGGACCCCAGAAATAAGACAGTTATTGAACTTGACCTTGCCTTCTAGCAGAGATATGTACACCTTTAGATGCAGCTAGGTATGTTCCCTGAGGACTCCCAAGTTTGGCAGACTCCCCTGGAGAGGCTATCTGCGAAAGAAGTTTTTGTCTCTATTATACTTCATGTGCCCTATAGCTTTAATAATCATAGAATCCCAGCCTGATTTGGGTTGGAAAGCACCCAAAACTCACCCAGTTCCAGCCCCCTGCCATGGGCAGGGACACCTTCTGCTAGGCCAGGTTGCTCCAAGCCCCATCCAACCTGGCCTTGAACACTGTCAGGGATGGAGCAATTACAACTTCCTTGGGCAGTAAACATTCCTCAAATATATTCTTTGTTCTTTTGAAACTTTCAGGTCGTGAAAAACCTTACAGGGCATATTCTTTTGCCATTATCTTTGAGGGATGTTCCTTGATAAGGAGGCAAAAGCTCAACTGATACGGACTAGTAAGAATTAGAGACTTAATACTGTCTTGCTTTAGAGTCTATCCCTTATTCAGTGTGACAGGAGTAATCAGTCAGTTGTACACAACTAATTAGCATCTGCTTATACAAGAATATCTTAATTGGTGGTTTGGCTTTAACAGATTCTTTTAAAGCAGTGTTTAGGTGTCTTGGTAATTGTCCTATACTTGGTAAAGTGTTGTTTTTCTATGTAAGGAAATGCAGTCATTTATTTTACTAGGCTGCAAACACAAGTTTGTCTAGAAAGCTGGATGAAGCAAGAGAGCTGCTGTCTGAATCAGAATCTGCTCGGCTGCAGAAAGAAGAGGAGGTGACATCTCTGAGAGAGCTCTTGGAAAGGTGGGAGTTTGGGTTCTTTACACCGTTACTTGTAAGCCAAGTAAGGGGCCAGTAACCAAAGCATCTTGAAAATGGCTGTGGGTTATGAAGTGGCATATGCCACAGGGTTTATATAAGGCAAATAGTGCCCGGGCACTGATGGAAAACATCAGGTTGACACTTGAGATGAGAAATCTGTAAATTGCACAGCCCACATAAATGCAAGGTTTAGGTTTGATTGTATTGTTAATGTAGCTGATGACATAAATTCGTTGTATGACTTCTTTTATGAGACTGAAAGACATCTTACAACCTCTTTTTACCTTATAGCATAGTAACAAAACTAAAGCATCAATACTGGCTCTTTGTTTTTCATAAGGAATGGAAAACTTGTGCTTTTTAACTTTTATTTTATCTTTCCTCAACATTTCAGAGAATCAGTAAGAATTATTTGAATGGGACCACATCCTGCATGTCTTTGTCATGTCTCTTATCAGTTTAAAGTATCTAACACGAGTCTGTAATGTGAGCCTGCGTAGTGTGGATTAACTGGCAGTCCAGAATAGATCTTCATGGGACATGGGCTCACACAGAGTTTCAGTTACTCAACTTTGTACATTTTTGTGCTGATATCATCTGTCTTTGTGGGAAGACTGATGATTCTTGATCTGTACTGAAGGTTGTCAGTGCAAAATCTAACTCATCAAAATAGTTGAATACAGTTGAATTGGCTGAGTGAGTTCAGAGCAGCTCAGCCATTTGGGTTGTGTTGCTGTAGCATCTTCGATCCATTGCTGGGACTCACAGGACTGAAACTGCCATATTCTTAACTCAAAACTTACTTTCTTGGAAGCTTCCTGGGAAAATTTCCTTCCACTGACTGTGCAGTGAACTGAGTTGTCTTAGCCTTTAGTTCTTGAATTGCATCAGTGTTAGAAGAACATAGTGAGAAACTGGTTTGCTTCCCTTTTGTGAACGTGAAGCTCAGTTTGCAGCTGCTGCTGATCTGAGCTTCCAAGAACAGCTATTTTACTCCCAGTGTGGTAGCCATCATAGGCTTTGCTATAAGCAGGGCACCCAAGAAATTGCTGGTTGCTGAGTGTAATCAATAGGTAACAGATCTGTGTGCACTTTCAGTGATGTAGAAAAGTGGAGAGATTCTTACTAACTGTAGAAACTATGCACAGTGAGAAACTACCTGTTTATGAGGGTGGAGGACCCCTTTCTTCCATGAGAAAGACTTGAATGCACATGAGCTAAAAATTATTCTTAATTGCCTTTGTATTTGATCAGGATGCAAAAAGAAGCTGAAGAAGCAAAAGAGAAGGTCCTGGAGTACAGTGAGAAGCTCAGCAAGGTGGCAGCAGACAAAGACAGAAGCGACCAGAAGTTATTTGCTGAACTGGATGATCTGACACGAACAAAACAGTTCCTTGAAGAGCGTTTGATAGAACTTATCAGGTTGGCATTAAAATAAAGAGCAAGAAGCAATTAAAATCCTAGCTTAGGATGTAAAGGGTGGTTCAGTCTCATATTCTTTGAGTGGAAGATATAGGTAATGGCCAAGTTCATCAGCAGTTGAAACTCTGCATTTCCATAATGCAGTCAAAAATATAACACCCACTATTATTTCCTCCTTAATTTGCTGTCCGTTTTGCCAAAAATACGTAGTTCTCTCCATGACATATGTTTTTCTCTGCTCCTCCCTAAGAGCTTTGGTAGGTTTCTGATCTATCTTTATGTCTGAAACCTCCTCAGAAGTTTCAGCAAAGCAATTTTTACTGTGAAACTTTCGCCAGCGTTCAGGTTGAGGTTGGTTATCAGTCAACCAGCAGGAATCATTTCTATGTGTTTTTCTCTCTTGTAACTGTGTCTCTGCAGAGATAAGGATGCTCTGTGGCAAAAATCAGATGCTCTGGAGTTCCAGCAGAAGCTTAGTGCAGAGCAAAGGTGGCAGGGGGACACAGAGGTTAACCACTGCCTGGACTGCCAGAAAGAGTTCTCATGGATGGTGCGCCGACACCACTGCAGGTCAGTTTGTGGAGCTCCGCTACACTGCTCAAAAGCAAAATCCAATTTAAATGTTTATATGGATGAAGTACTTCGTAATGTTCACAGTTCATTGGTCAAAATCATTAATACAAGTCATTGTAGAGGATGAAAGAACACATGAGCTTACAAGGGGAAAAGAGACATTAATGGAAAGGTCTGTTGACATGTATTAAGGCAAAGATCTGGATGCAACTTAGTTTCTCATTTGTGGAAACAAAGATAATCACACCTTATATAGCTTGTTTCTGGGTTTTAATGTATTTATTACGCACTGCTCTGTGCATGGTGCATGGTTCCTTACACTAGGTATGTTCAGGGATATTTGCTGATTGCAGAGTAAACTAAAAAAACCTTAACATTAAATTACTTTCTGTGCAGTTAGCCTGCTTGGAGTTAACTAATTACTAGATCTAGATTTACTCAAATGTATTTAAGTGGATACGTTTCAGGGTCTTAGTCATGTTTGTTTTGTCTCTTGACTGTTCTTTATCCTTGATTCATCCTCTAAGGTAAGTAGTACTAGGACCGTTTCAATTGCATGTGAATGTAGGGAACATTCAATGAATAGCGAAGCCATTTCCAGTACCAACTTCCAGATTACTCATTTCTACTAAAATCTGCAAAACCTGCTTGTGTTTTCGCCTACTAATGATTTATTTAAGAAACCAAAACCACCAAGACTTCATGAAGAGCAGTCATCCCTATTGGATGCTTTTGTTCAGGAAAATCTTAACACGTTCATTAAGAAGTAGTTGTCAGGTTTAGTACTGAGGCTGCAGAGGTGAGAGAGCAGGAGGGGTGGATGTTCATATATGTGTCCAATGTTGGTTTTTCTTCCCTGTCTGAAAGGGAAAAGGCTGGTTATTAATAGAGATGTCTAGATGTGTTCTTTATAGTCCTTACAATCAAATAGATTTTGGCTCTGAGTATGAGATTTGGCCTGTGTAATATTGTTAAGTATATTTCCTTCCTTAATATATGTAATATTTATTTGTATTGCACATTGGTGAGTATTTATTTGGTTTATGTTTTTAAATTTATGTATATGTAATTGGGTTTTTAGTATTTTTTAGGGGTTTTTCTGTTTTCCCTATTTATTAAGGCAGTAAAGTATGAACCTGTCCTGTGTTTGTCAAGAAAACTTGCTTCATCTCAGAAAACAGCACAGTCTGTATTGGTTCTCCCATGGATACATCATTTGGGCTTTTGCAAAAGAACAAGACCATCATGACAAAGCCCCTGGCTCTGTCACATAGATATGTTCTACCTGCATGTGGTACTATTCTAACACCTTTGGTTTTGACTCATTTCTAGAATGTGCGGTCGCATTTTCTGCTACTACTGCTGCAACAACTACATGGTGACAAAGCCTGGTGGAAAGAAGGAGCGTTGCTGCAGAGCTTGCTTTAATAAGCCTAGAGTCATTGTGGACAGTACAGATGACTCTGGATCCAGTGCCAACCAGGAAGGATCACCAGCTTCACTGGAATCACCCGTGTCACCATCCGAGAGGGCTTTTGGTTAGTTTATTGTTTGCATGCTCTGGGGAAACAAGCAGAGTTCTTAGACATTCTCCAAGAAACCACCTCATGCATCAAGGACCTACATGTTCATGGAGTGTTTTCAGGGTGGGACTGGTCTAATTACTGAATTTGATGAGTATTGACAGAAATTTGCATGTGTATTAAATGAGTGTCGTTCAGTCTGAGGTTTTCGGTTGGTTCCAGTAGTGACCTAATGCTTCCATAAAAGTAGAGGAATGGCTCAGGCTTCCCCTGTAAGGGTTTTGCTTGTTTGTTTTCCAGACAACCAGCTAATACTGTTTTATGTTTCTTTCCATATCTTTGAATGGCACCATTTCAGGTGAAGCCTCTAAACCACCAGATGATGCAGCATTTGATATAATCACTGATGAGGAGCTGTGCCAAGTACAGGAATCGGACTCTCTCCACAGTGAAAGTCAGATGGAGCAAGATTCTCTGGAGCAAAGTGTGACAGACCTGTGAGTAAACACTGCTTCGTGGAGAGGGGACTCTTCTGGGTTTTATTTGGAGCACTGGGTTTTGGGTTACTTTTCAGTTCACTGGGGATAGCCAGCCTCTGCATACAGAGAAGACACTTGCTACCAGCCATGTGTTCAGTAGACCAACACAAACTGATTTTGGCCTGTTTTCACAATCAACATCAAGTCTAGTAAATCCAAACAGGTCGACCTGCTTCACCACAGCACAGAGGAGTAGTCCCAGTTCAGTGCATGTCAAAATTAGCTTGCAGGCCACACTGGATCACATTCACACTTAACTTACAATAGGAGCAAAACAGTACTCTTTATCAAACTCACCATTACTTAACATCAAGCCAGCAAGAAGGTAGGGAAAAGATAAGGAAAGATGTGCTCTTTTTATGAGAGGCTTTATTGAACTGAATGTGAACTAGCTGGTCTGTGTCTGTAGGATTCCTAACTGCTTTAGAGATAACTACTTACGAAAAGCAAAATGAACAGGAACTGCATAGCTAAATCTGGCACAAGTTTATTCTTTTTTTCCTGAAATGAGAACAAATGTAGGTTTCAGTCATGTGTTTTACATCTAGTTTACATAAATGAGCAAGGAAGAGGACCTAAGGCCATCTGAATATCCAAGTACATGGTTTGCAAAATATGTTGTGGCATTAGAGTTTAATATATATCCATATTTAGACAAAATATTGTTAAAATACTTCTAAATATTTTCCAAAGTTTCTGTTTTGTAATATATAGCCTTTCAAAAACTCCTATATATTTGAGAATCAAAATGAAAAGAGGGTGTTTTCGCCTAAGTTCTGGGCTTGTTCTGCTTCTGAACAGAAAAAGAAGCGTGATAAATGAAAATGATAAGCTGAAAATAGCCACAGAGTAACCAGCTTGCTGCTGAGGAAGCAGACTTTGACCCTTTTGCCCTCAGCAGACCAGTTTCCAGCGCAAAGAAGCACAGCATTTTGCAGTTTGGGTAGAAGGCAGATTGTAGACTGGTTTAGTTGGGGAAAAAACCCCCAACTCCTCAAAATTCTCCATTTTTGTTGTTGGTAAATAAGTTGTATGTATCCTGCCCATTTTCTGTACTGTGACAGTGTATGTTTCTCATGCATTAGACAGACATGAGCAAACTGAGCTTCACAGTGCTCTTTTGAAGTGAATCTGGCCCTTGTTTTGCCAAGGGACAATTTGTGTGTGGGGGTTTTTGTTTCTTTTAAGAGGAAAACCAAGTGTAATGTACTTTGAATTCATGCTGTCTGCAGAGGGGATGTCAATGAGTTAGATCCGATGACCACAACCAGGATTAAAGAAGTAGGTGTGTGTCACCATTTGTTTCAACTTGTCCCACAAAATATTGAAGCCGGAAGGAAGGATTGCTACTAGTGATGGAATACTACTCCTGAAGGGCGCTTGTGCAACATCCTGCTTGACCATGTAAACTGTTAGAAGCTGTCTGTCTCCCCTTGCCCACAGTTTAGAGGTAGGAAAGCCAAGAAATAGTGTTTTAACCTCTGTTGCTCTTGGTTCATCAGTTTTACAAGCAGGATATAGAGTCCTACTCTGTGCTTGAGACACTCTGAACACTGGAAAGGAGAATGGCTTGGATGGAGAGTTACAGTGTGGATGACTTGAGCATCTCAGTGTGGCTGAGATTTTCACACTTGCCTTACCTTATTCTGGGTGTGAGTCCTTGCTGGCCTGGAAATGCAGGTTGGTGCTCAAAGCAGTGAATGATCTTAAAGGATATTTTCCTTTGTACTTGTGCCCCTTTTGGTGTCTACTGTACTGCACTTTCCTAAAGGTTAGGATTAAAGAGTAGTCACTTCATGCTTTCAGGTCTGTTAGGTGAGTTTGAAGCAATCTGATTGAAATCTGATTGTGAGAAGCTGAGATAAGTTGTGCAGTTGCAGCACATCCTGCTGCTTCAAGGCTCGTGGGATCTGTTTTGAAGTGTTGTATTTTGAAGTTCTTTTATTTCTAAAGCATTCACATTTGTGGATTGTGTTCTAAAACACAGGCCAGGAGGATATTGCAATAACACTGGATCAAAGTCCCCAGGGTAAACCAGCGTTCCCATTTTCACATATTGTAGAAATTCCATGCCTGCAATTAACATTGTAGCAGCAGAATCAAGACCAAAGCAGAAGTGTGAAAAAACCCAAAAGATGCCACTACCCTGGTATGGAAACAATGACTTTGTTCACACCTTTCGTGTGTATTCACACCTTTTGCTGCTTTCGGTAGAAAGCACATCTGCACTGTGGTTGCTTTGGTTTGGATTCTTGTTTTTTAGTGACTCATAACAGTCTTTCTTGACCTGATTACAACTCACATGGCTGGGCAGGGTGCCAGTGTAGCCAAAAGGGGGAACTGATTGTGGTCTGAAGCATTCTCTGGCCTGCACAGAACCAGCAAGGGAGAGAAGTGGGGGCAAGAGAACTTCTCATCACCCTCTGCTGATAAAAGCAGCCTTGCTGTAGCGGCTTTACTTGCCACACAAGCACAGCACATTCCTTCCTAGTTTTGTTTCTAAGGATGTTGCACTATTTCACTATGGAAGAAACAATAGAAATTAGGCAGTAAGGAAAGGATTGCCTAAACAGCTGTTTTCTAAGGGGGAAAAAGGTGATATGGGCATCATGGTGCCAATAAAGGTCAGATACAACTGAGCTGCAGTCATCTGGTAGAAGGACCAAGTATGGAGAGAAAAGGAACATCCAGAGTGAACATGGCTATTGCAAGAATGGTTTGAAACAGGTTAAACCTGGTATCTGAAAGCTGTGATACAAAGGACTTTCAGCCTTTGGGCCAGACCCACCCCTATTTTCATCATATGTAGCCCACAGCTGCATAAAGCTCTCCCTCAGCTCCTCTCCAGCAGCCCTTCTTTCTTTTCCCTAGTCCCGTCTTGACCCCTGTTCTGCCACTCTCTGCAGGAGCTTTTGCATACTTTCTGCCCCAGTCTGCACTGCCCCTATGCACCTTTTTGGCTTCCACTGAGAAATTAAAAGGCCAGAGGTGGAAAAGAGGGCCTGCAGGAACAAGGAAGGAGAACAACTTAAGGAACCCAGAGTTTCAAGGCAAGAGATCCAGGCTGCCAAGGAGATGCCAGGAAAAACAAAGAAAGATGTCATGGTGCAAAGAGTGTGTGGGAATTAGGGTGTGAGAGTTTACATCTAAGGAATGTTAGAGCCCAAGGGTGTATGATATCACTTGGTTTATGTACCCACTATAAAACTGCCTAGAAAATCTGGCAACTATTTACAGCTTCTTTTATTTGTAAATGCTGAGATAGGTAGCCCGCAGGAAAGAGGAAATACAATCCCACTAGTAAAGACATTGTGAGCAGCATTAGGTGTTTCATGCTTTTCCTGATCAGAGCTGATCCTAAGCCAAAACTGCTCACTGAGTTATGCATATCTTATATAAGACCATCCAGTGGAGGGACAGTGACCAACAGCAGATGCCCGAGGAAGAGCATAAGAACAGGACAAGCATTAACTAACACCTCTTCAAAATGCTCCACCAGCCTCTGACAATCCTTGTCTCAAGGAGTTGCTGAACCAGAGCTGTTCTCTTCTTGCTGTAGTGTCTTTCCCATGTGTCACTTCTTCCTGCTTTTCAGACCCACTTCACTTTCAAAAGATAAAGAAGAGAAACAGTCCAGACTGTTTTAATAGATACCAGAGGGTGCATATTCATAAGCTGGGGACCTGGCAAGCTGCAGGAACATCCTTAATGCTGCCACCTGGTGTGAAAAGCCAAGCAAGAGTCAATTCTGTCAGAGGACAAGAGGTCCTGTTAAATCTTGAGGCTGTTTCGTATATTTTCCATATAGGCTACCAGACCTCAGACCATTGGATTCAATGGGATATCATAAAGAGAAGGGGGATTTGCTTTGTGATTGTAATGCACTTGGGTGTAAGAGACAAAGTAGAAGACTTAGTGTTCCCTTAACCTACACTGAATAGGTCTGCTGAATGTATGGATTAGAGCAGCCAAGTGGCAAGCTAACCACCGAGCCATGTGCACGATTGCAGCAGCAGGAATAAGGAAAATCACATTTTATAGGAGAACATGGAAAATGTACTGGTCCTGGGATTGAATTTACATTTCGGGGTCCCAAAAGGTGAAATGATAGATTAAATAAGGAACTCTAATGGCATTGCATAATAGATCATGGAGTTAGACACTTTTGGGAAGCCTGTAGTCACGTTAGTTCTCTTGGTCTGTATAAATTCCAGGCTGCAGAATGAAAGCTGTGTACCTGTCGTGGTGAGAAGGGAGAGTTCTGTGGGTCACAGCATGAAGTCTGCTGCTGTTCCTACTGTGCAAACAAAATCAATGCATAGGTTTGCAGGCTATAGTTTAGTTTTCTAGGGGTTTTTATCAGAAGCAGTTTTCTTACCCAGTTGTGTAAAGATAGTAAACAAATTACATTGCTGTATTTGCATAGGTGTTGTATTAAACTTTAGGGACGAATACGTAGTATTTCATTCCTGCATTTCAGTGGAGAGATCATGTTTGCTTCTTGCTCAGGTTTGGGCACTTAGTGACAGGTTTGAGTCTTTCCTGCAGGTCACAGCTGTCTCCTTAGGACATTAACGGTCCTGGTATGACTGTTAATATGACTGTTGACAGGCTGAGAACATTGGGGCTGTTCAGCCTGGAGAAGAGAAGCTGCGTGGAGACCTCAGAGCAGCTTCCAGTGTCTGAAGGGGGCTACAAGGATGCTGGAGAGGGACTCTTCATCAGGGACTGTAGTGATAGGACAAGGGGTGATGGGTTCAAACTGAAACAGGGGAAGTTCAGGTTAGATCTAAGGCAGAAGTTCTTCCCTGTGAGGGTGCTGAGGCGCTGGCACAGGGTGCCCAGAGAAGCTGTGGCTGCCCCATCCTTGGCAGTGTTCAAGGCCAGGTTGGATGGGGTTTGGAGCAACCTGGTCTGGTGTGAGGTCTCCCTGTCCATGGCAGGGGGTTGGAACTGGATGATCTTAAGGTCCTTTCCAACCCAAACCATTCCATGAATCTGTGGGCTGAAGGTGCTGTTACCTGGAGATGTTTTCTCCTGCTCTTCTACTCGGTGCTGCTGCTTGTAGAGCACGGTTCCATAGGATTTCAAAGAAAATGCTGAACGTGCATTGGTTTTGAGAATCGGTCTGCAGAATGTACAGAATAAGTTGACCAATGATTGATGGCTCAGAGGCACATATGCTACATGTGATACAAGATTTTATTAGATATCACTGTTTTTTGGAGGCAACCAACCAGTTGGTTCCCTGTATATAAGAAGCCTTTGCTTTTTTCTGGGAATGACAGCCTAATTGTTTCAGTTGATCAACCTGCTGAGGTGCAGAGAAGCAAGTATCAGTTAGAGAAGCTGTTACATGGAAACTGTCAGCATTTGGTTACTGACTCTCAAGCTCATTCTGTCTGTGTTCCAGTCCTGTAATTCCTAGCCGGTGCTACGCCAGTGTTCATCCAGAGCATGCATCCTTTTGGAGGTAAGGAGTCCACTCCTTACCATCCATGGCAGGTTATTCCATCTACTTCCTTTCATCTCCTGGATGCATCATGGTGGGAAGGAGGCATCCTGCTTTGTCCTCCTGTAACAACTTGTTTGTGGTATTTGTGTTTGAATCACCCAGTATTTCTTCTATGAAAAGAAGATACATGGTAGTGATTCTACAGCAATAAGATACACCTGGGGCACCATTGTCAGAGTAAGGAACTGGATAATATGTCTGTAAAACACCTCACAGATTAAATCCAGGGCAAATGTCACATCCCTGTGGAAGCTTTGTTTAAAGGACAAGTCTTGCTTGTGCCTGCCCTCCATCAAGATTTCCAGCTGCCAGGGAATCTTTAAAACTTGGCAGCATCTCAGATTATCTTCAGACTGTAGGAGAGATGTTCTGTATGTATGTGCTCCTAGCTCATGGAAACAGGATCAGAAGAGTGTGCCATTTGTGCACAGTGGGTAGCAGGATGGGGCTGCAGTTTTGCCCAGTTTTGTCACTAGAATACACAAAATAAGGATTCTTGAATTGGGCGTCGTGACTGCCAGAACGTTTCTGTTTTAGGAAGGCATCAGCATGAAGATGGTATTTGACCACATATTACTCAGAGAATCATGTCTTTCCTCTTTTATCTTGTCCTAGAAACAGCACGTGCAATTCTTCAACCTTTGACGAATCAGAAGAGTGGCAAGTTGCTCAAGATGCTGAGATATGCTTGTTGAAGTCAGGAGAAATCATGTAAGCAGAACAGTTTCATTACTATCAGCCTGAAAGAATTGACTGAGCTCAAGTATCAGCCATGCAAGAATAAGTTGCAGACTCCTGGGAGAGCTGATCACAGTAGAATTTGGTCTGAGGAGGAGGAGCAGAGCGTATAGCTCAGCTACACAGAGCAGGAGCCATGAGTGGGGCTGTCTCTCTTCAGCCCTGCAAAACTTCAGTGCAAGAGGGAGCAAGAAGGAAAGATTTGGGTCCACATCACATTAGAAAACCTTCCTTCCTGTTCTGATTGAAGGAGGTGCAATGAACAGGAAAGGGGCTTAGAGAGAAGGCCATGTATTTCTTGTAGTCTCTGGAAGAAACTGCAAGGGCAAGCCAGGGAGTGCAGTATGAGTTAGACCTTTGTCCCAGGGAGGGAATTTGTGGCCTTTTAGAGCATGTATCTATTATTTATTGGTGGTCTCACCACCAATTGCCTAGCATTGCATATGTTCAGCATCAAATGTTCAGCTGAACCTCTGTTCAACCTCTGTGAAGTATGTGCACACAATTCCCTGCTGTATCCTGCTCTGAAATTAACAGTTGCGTGCAGTAGTGATACAGCATGTCACTTGCACAGCCAAGAAGGGAATCTAACATATGTAAATTCCTGGCACATGGAGAAATTCCCCTTTGCTCACTATCCCCTTAGGCCTAGCTTTGAAATTTTGGCATAGTTATGGGGAAGGTTTTAAACTTCAGTCTGCAGGGAGGTAAATTAGTCCATGTTTCAACCTGGTTGCTGCTCTTTGCAGAACCAGTAACTAAAATCATAGCTGGGTTGTAGGGCAAACCCAAGAGTATTCAAATCAAAGAACACCTGAGACACCCCAGCAGTTACTTCAGCCAAGAGGAAGTAGAAAGTTAGGCAAAACCTCATATAAAGTTTCCTCTGTTGCCAGAGTACAATAGTTACCACAAAAAATCAATTGCAATCCCTAAGCACTGTGTTGCCATGGCTGGACACTGAGCTCTTCCTTACTCTAGAACAGCAAATTGTAATGGTGACTGTATAATATCCTCTGGTAAATGTATTGTGTTTTGGTAACAGTACTGTGGTTTGCTGTGAGCTCACTGATTTGGAAACAGTTTAGCTGGCCTAAGGAGAGAGATGTTAGGTTAGTTCTACTTAGAGTCATGTAGAGGAGATGCACAGCTCTTAGAAATTACAGGTCTCTCCTGAAGAAAGCAAGCAGCGTTCTCCTGTTTAAGGGCCTCACTGTTTGCAGTTTGAAATACATACCAGAATGAGGAAGGTTAATACAGTGCTTCAGGACTTGGGATCATCTAAGAACTCCCTTTTTCCTTGTACTTTGAGTCAGCTTTTATGCAGCTTGCTTGGGTAAAACAGCTGTAGCATTAGGTGCCTTGGAGGATCTAGACAGAGCTGCTGTTCCCATTCCATCCTTGTGTCCCATCTGTACTCCTGGTCTTTATTTCCTGTATAAATACTATCTGGAAAGGTGAACAAATTAGGTGACTATTTTTTGTTTCAATTTCTGCTTAAAAAGAACAGCAGAGGGCAGCAGACTTTTTTTGTTGTACTCTATATGTTGTACTGCTTATGTTCTAACTATAAAGCTTTATTCAAGCACTACATTTTTCTAGTCAAAATGAACTAAATAAGTGAATAATATCCACATTAGCCAGAGCAGTGAAAGTGCTTGATATCAGTCATCTATTCTGTACCTCTTGCCTTCATCCCAGGCTGAATTTTCCTGCATCTTGTGAACATGTCCCAAAGTTTCTGTGGAGTCTGCCTCAAATAGATGGAAAATAAAAGACAATGATTATTGTTTCTGTCTGAGTAATTAGATTGGGTCTCTTCAAGTAATTGTATTTTTCTCCTTCCCAGGGTCAGATTACCCCTTACAGTGGAAGAGATCTTAAATTTTGGGGAAAGCAACAGAGAGCTGTTCATTAAATCCAGCACCTACAGTATCATTCCCATCACTGTTACAGAGACGGGGCTAACAATCAGCTGGATCTTTTCATCAGACCCTAAAAGCATATCCTTCAGTGTTGTCTACCAAGAATCAGAAGACACACCGCTGGAGCAGTGCAAAGTAAGGCCTTTGTTTCCTTGTTGCAAAGGTTGTAGTACACTGCAGTCAGCCACCAAAGGAGTCAGCAAGTATAGCTAGGAGGTCTCCACAAGAGCACGTTGCTATTGCATTAAGGACTTGATTCTGCAATTAAGCTACAGTGCTGCTGAAGGCAGAGCTACATCTTCATGTTGCCTGGAAATGCTGAGTTGAAAAGTATTGTAGCTCCTGTAGGTCACATCTAAAATACACCTCATTATTAAGCAAAAATAAAAGTCCAAGTCTCCAAAATTCTTTCTTCCCCTCCTCTCTCTGCTCTTAAGCAGAGGCCACAAGGAGACAGATGAAGCAGTGAGGCACAGACTTAAGTGCCTTGATGGTGTGCAGAATTGCTTTGCCAGTGCCCCAGATACCAGTTTCTATATGTGCTGTCTGTATTTCCTGAGGATTACGGATTAAGTGAATCAGTGTTATTCAGCTAATTACAAAGTTTTAATGAAGATAGGGCAGCTGTTGGTTTAACCCACTGTGGTAAGGGGGGACCCCACTTGCAGCACTGTGTGCAGCTCTGGTGTCCTCAGCATAAGAAGGACATGGAGCTGTTGGAGCAAGTCCAGAGGAGGCCACGAGGATGCTCAGGGGCTGGAGCACCTCCTGTATGGAGACAGGCTGAGAACATTGGGGCTGTTCAGCCTGGAGAAGAGAAGCTGCGTGGAGACCTCAGAGCAGCTTCCAGTGTCTGAAGGGGGCCTATAGGGATGATGGGATGGACTGTTCATCAGGGACTGTAGTGATAGGACAAGGGGTGATGGGTTCAAACTGAAACAGGGGAAGTTCAGGTTAGATCTAAGGCAGAAGCTCTTCCCTGTGAGGGTGCTGAGGCGCTGGCACAGGGTGCCCAGAGAAGCTGTGGCTGCCCCATCCCTGGCAGTGTTCAAGGCCAGGTTGGACACAGGGACTTGGGCAGCATTGTCTGGTGTGAGGTGTCCCTGCCCATGGCAGGGGGTTGGAACTGGATGAGCTTAAGGTCCTTTTCAACCCAAACCATTCTGTGAGTCTACGAATTCTAAGGCTTTGATTTCTCTGGGGCAAGAATACCTTTATCGTGTGCGTTAATTCCCTCCATGGTTACTAACTCCATTTAAAATCCCCCCACCTTTTTGTTGTTTTTTCTCTTAATCTGAAAGCTGAATGAAAAGTGAATGTTGCTTTTTGATACATCTATTTGATATAACTTTGGGTTTTATAGGCTTGTCCTTGATCTGTGTCAGTTGCTGTTCTGACAAATGTCTCTGGTAGGGTTTTACAGCAAGATAGATGGTAACACATAGTTTTGCTGTCAGCTTAGATAAACAATTCAGATTTGCTGAGAAAGCTTGTTTTATAATGGTGGGACTATAAAAGCAGATATTACAAGACATACGTAGCTAAATCATGCTCTTGGATGTATTTAATGGAGCACTGCTGATGTTAGTAAACTTGCTTAGATTAACATTAAAAAGATGCAGATCTGACTCTGTCTCTAAAGCAGAGATTTATAGCCATGGTTTAATGCTGTAAAGAGGTTATTGAAGGAAAGCAGATGTCTCAATGTGAGATGTTAGTTTGGGTGGATTTTTAATGCTAGTCAGTGAAAATAAGTAGTCTTGCAGGCACAGAAGGACTTTGAGACCTTCAAATGACTCAAGTCTGAATATGAAGGCAAATGTCAATTTATAGGGCAAATGGCAAGTTTCATTTTGATTTGTATTGAATTCCAGGTTCTTATTCCTATGACCCGCTGCAACTCTCATAAGGAAACTATCAGAGGACAGGTGAAAGTCAGAAACTCTGGAATCTACACGCTGATATTTGACAACACGTTCTCTAGGTAGGTCCTAGCTGGGTGGAAAAGTTGGTTTTACAGACTGGAACTGATCATGGTCATGAGGGGTACTCTGTCCATCATGGTCACAGTCTGAGAAAACCTCTTTGTGAGATCACTGCTGTAACTCAAAGCAAGGGCAGGCTGGATGTGAGGAAGAAACTCCTTACAATAAGAGTGGTAAAACCCTGGCACAGGTTGCCCAGAGAGGTGGTGGATGAACCATCCCTGGAGGCATTCCAGGCCAGGCTGGATGTGGTTCTGGGCAACCTGGTCTAGCTGAAGATGTCCCTGCTCACTGCAGGGGGTTGGACTGGATGAGCTTTGAAGGTCCCTTCCAACCCAAACCATTTGATGAATCTATGATCAGATGTACCAGTATTCTGCCATTCAGAAGTAAGGATGAGGAATTGATCCGAGCCTGCCAGAAGATCTTCAGCCTGAGTTTTGGTTCTTGTTGTTGTTTTGGTTTTAAACTCCCCCCTGCCAGAATCCACTTTCTGTCTCAACATCTGGGAAGGTAAACAGAAGTAAGACAGTCACTTGTGACTATTTCCAAGACAGTTAAGTCAGGATTGTCATCTTATATTAACAACAGCCCTGACAGCCATTGCACAGGCATTCTTTTTGTTAACAACAGTCAGTGTTTTGCCTGAGTATGAGCTGAAAGCCTGAATGGATTTGTAAGGCTTCCTGTCTAATTGTCTTTAGCTAATGTGATTCTCTTTCTCTCTTTTTTCCCTTGGCAGGTTTATCTCAAAGAGAGTGTTCTATCACTTGGCTGTCGAGCGACCCGTCATCTATGATGGAAGTGATCTTCCATAGCCTTGACTTATACTGTGTTATTTTAAATTAATTTTTTAAGAAATGATCTTATTTATGTACACAGAAGCATTATGATTACCACTGTATTTGAAGACTTTGAAACTATGCAATAGTTATAATGCACTTAGAGAACGTGTATACACTAAAAATGGAAGCCTTTTTTAGGAACACTAATGGTTCTGTACTGTGTACAGATTGCTGAAAAGCCATGTTCTTTGATTTAACAGGTCGAGAATCAGTTTCAGTGCAGAGAAAAGTGTGGGGGAGTGTTAATGCAAAGTGAAATTTTGATTCCTTCCCAAAATCTTCTTCAAGAGGAAATTTAAAGAGAAAAAAAGAGTGTCTTTTTATTGACCTCTTCACTGAGGAGTAAATACAACCACTTATGTTCTGCTCTGCTGCTCCTGCAGTCAGAACAGCAAGTATGCAATGCTTCAATCTTCACAGGCATATATAGTAATCCATCTGGAAGATTTTATCTTTTCCAGGTTTTATAAACAGCAAACACAGGGGATTCTTACATTTTGGGATAAGATTTGGTCTTACCTGGCTTTTAAAAATGCTGTGGTACTGAATGCCAGTTACAAAACAACACAACAGGAAGCAGCAACTCCTTTCACTTTTTCTCACCAGCATCTGTAAGTTGGTGCACTGAAACCAGCGCTTATGGTGAGTACCAGCAGCAGAATCAGGAGTGTCATTTGTAGAATGAAGCACTGCTCACTGTGGTATTAGGAAAAGGAACATTCCCTTTTCCTGCTTTAGCACCTTAGTCATCAGCATTCACAGCGAAGCACAGTTTCTGAGGAGGTCAGCAGTGTCTCTCTCTCTCTCTGGAACACATGGAACGTAGCAATAATGTCTGAATCAGTCTCAAAACGTCCATCCAAACCCAAATGCATATCCAGCCCCATGAACTCTTCACACAGTGCTGGTGTATTCTGTCCCTTCCTACCCCTTGCGCTTGCCCTAGCCAGCTGCTAACTTTGTCTCAGATTTGGGGATAAAGCTGGCTCTCAATCCTGCCTTTTAGGGAAGGCTGGGTTCTCATTTATGTAACATTTCCATGCAAACCATCTGCTGTCTATATAGAATTTCAACTTTATGTCAAAATATCCAAAAGCAGGGTTTTTTCTCATTAAAAATCCTGTCTTCTAATGGAAAGGCAAAACATTTGACAGGAGAAAGAAGAAAAGCTCTTTCTTCTGAGCAGCCCTCCTCATCATTTTAGATGTGTTTGATTTCTCATGATGTTGTTCTCCCAGGGAAACCTCAGACCTGGAAGGTTTTAGCACAGCGTTTAGTAGAAGGCCAGCACAGCCCGCCAGGAGCCCTGTAGACTCTTGGTGGCTGGTATACAAGGGGGTCATGGTGGGGAACAGCAAATAAACCATGAGGGGAAAGAACAGCACAAGCCGAAGCAGACGATTTAGGGGAGAGGAAAGGGGCAAATCTTACAAGTGCAAAAACAAGGGCAGGGATTTGGAGGGATCAGCGCAACCAGGGAAGCTAGCCAAGGGAGTCCAGCTGCTGTTTGTGTTGCAGGTCTGATCCATTACTTATAGGGATCTTCTACACCAAAAGGCTGGTTGTTTAAAAGGTGGAGTTCACAGTGTTGGAGATTCAGTGGTTGGGCTCGATCTTAAAGGTCTTTTCCAACCAAATTGATTCTATGATTCTATTTACATAGTAGCAGCCAAGGTAGAGGGAAATTCTGATTATAGGAAAGGAAAGAATACTGCAGGTGAAGCTGAAGGTTGCTGATCATTCATTCCAGTGAGAAGATGGCTCCTTTTCATGGAGCAGCTAGATTTAGGTGTCTGGTTCATGCAGCTCATCAACAGCCTTCCCTTCAGATGCCTCTTCCTGGAACTGGTGGTGTGCTCCCAGCCTCCACCAGACATCACTGGAAGGTGCAAACTGGTTTACTCCCCTCCTGATGGCACAGGCTGCAATGCAGTTAAACCCTGACCTGGCTGTGTGCATGGCAGTGAGATGGACAAGAGACTGAAGTGGGCAATAAACAGGCAATAACAGGCACACGGATCAGTTGGTGGGTTATGGCAGATTTCAGTGTTGAAGCTATGTTTTATATTTAATTAGACAAGAAAAGATTATTTATTGCTTAAAAATGTGTACCATATGCTCTGCAGCTTCACTGAGCTGTGCCTCAAGTTCTCCTTTAAGCTTTCAGGTGTGTTTTTTACAAGCATTTTGCTGTTGGTTTAGCTAGAATACTAATCTTACTAGGATACCTTTCTTAAAATGCCAAATGTAAGGTAAAGGGACACTGTCAAGTATCTTGGGCCAAAATAAGACATACATCTCTGCTCAGAAGTATTTGAAATGTCTCCATTCTGAGTTCTTGGACACATTTGCCTCTCGATTTCCTCTCTGCATCCCAGTTCTTAACATTTTTCATCCTCTGGCAAGTATTTTTAAGTGTTTTAAGTATATTTTAAGTATTATTAAGTATTTTAAAGGTTATTAGCTGTTCAAGTAGTTGCCTCCATGTAGTAAGGCAGGTGTTTCCCTGCAGGCCTTTCATGTAATCAGTCCTGAGGCTAGCTGAAGCAGATGAGGAGGGGAATAAAACCACTGGATTGTTTTTAGTTAGCATTTGTGGAGTTGTGGTACCTTCAGGTTTTCCTGTCCCATGAGAGTAGTTTTATGGGGCTTTATTGCTCTCTGAAAGAGAACACTAAGAGAAGGAGGCAGAACCTGTGCTTTAAAGATGAAAAGTTTGCTTTTAACCAAGGAGAGTATTTAAGAGGGAGAAAAGATTCAAAAGATTAAATACTCAGGCTGGTAAAGTACCACAAGTGGGCTGTAGTGCAACTGCTCCAACCAGCTATTCAAGAACAGGAATCCCATCATGTCAGTTGGAAGAAGGAGCCTTTTCCACCTCAGAGGATGTGCAGAGCAAACAGTCAAGCCCTTTTAAAATTGATGATGAAATGAGTTGAAGGGGATGTCACATTCATGTGACAAAGAGGTCAGCAGAAGCAACTGGGGGTTTCCCTGGGTGCTGGAGCAATGGAGGGTGATATTTATTGTTATGCAGAGGTTTATGTGAAGGAAAGAATGCAGTTGCTTTAAGAAATGACAGTGTTCCTTTACTCAGCGTTACTCCATGTTGCTTTATGACAAACCACAGAGATGTATTGCACCAGAGTGTACCGCGTTACAAGACAGCAAAGCTACAAAAGCCTGTCTTTGCTCCTTACTGAAAATGGAAATTGCACTATAGTTTTAGTTGTGCTCAGTCACTGAGATTGTAACTTGTTCAGAAGCATCTTTTGGTCTTAACTGCCAAAGAGTTGCAAACTCCTTTTCTCATCAAACTTCATGCTTCAGATCGGGGAAAAAGAGATATACGTGTCCCAGCGTCTGTACAGTTACAGAGATGTGGACGGTTGTGTACTGGGATGTTTCTTGATGCTTTTTTCCTCCTTTTTTAACCTCAGGAATTAAATAAAACTCTCATCACTGAGAATGTGTGTCCCTTTTCTGTCTTGTAGGACAAAGCTCTGCCTGCAGGATCCATCAGGTGATTGTATGATTCTGCTTCTGAGCAAGAAAGAATTTTCACAAGATAAGGAAAATAGGAACCAGTTTGTGATGCTGGTGGAGAAGGGCCACATCTGTACAGCAAAACAGAGCAACAGTAGACCCATAAATCAGTGCTGCGTGAACTGGACCCCAAGCTAGAGGAAATACCCTTGTGTGCTGCTGGCTCAGAGCCACCAGCAAAGTTCTTCCCTGTGAGGGTGCTGAGGCACTGCCACAGGGTGCCCAGAGAAGCTGTGGCTGCCCCATCCCTGGCAGTGTTCAAGGCCAGGTTGGACAGAGCCTTGGGCAGCATTGTCTGGTGTGAGGTGTCCCTGCCCATGGCAGAGGGTTGGAACTGGATGATCTTAAGGTCCCTTCCAACCCAAACCAGCCTGGGATTCTATGATCATACCACTCACAGTCCAAGCAAGTTTCCAAATCACAGTTCAGGCTCAGTTCCAGTTAGGGAGAAAACAATGATTTGGGCTTGGTTTTGGATGAGCTCAGCTGTGACCAGGCACCACACTCCAGCATCAGCAGCATGGCATCCCCTTGCAAGGGGAAGGAGCTCTGGTGCTCAACTGCAAAATCCCTGCTAAGGTATCTCTGTACCCTCAATAACCAGTTGTCATGCTGAAACTCCTCCTGCAGCGGGTGTAGGCGTGTATGTGCCAGTACCTCTATGCAGTGCATGGCACATGGCTGCCTGCCAGTGGATCCATGGAAATACCCCTAATTCCAGCTAGTTTGTCCTTCAGTGTAATGCAGTCATTCCTCATTAGGAGAGCTGCATTAACTGCAGTATGGTAAAGGCATGCCCGTGGGTAAAGCCTCTCATGCAAAGGATCTTCATGTCTTTTGGTCTCTCCTTAATGAATCTGAGCCTTCACGTTCTGTATTTCAGTGACTTTAATTAGACTTAGCTTAATTCTCCCTAGAAGCAAAGTAATGTAACTTAAGCTACCCACGGCACACAGACACTTCCACTGTCCTAAGAGTCTCCAGAGCAGAACATGGGCAGCTGCTCATCCTGTTTGTCCTTTTTCTGCCACATCCCACTTATTCAGTGAGCGCAGCCGACACCACCACCATTTTTACCCCATTGGTGGGAACACAAGCAGGAGAACAGTGTGAACCTTACAAATCCTTTTGCCAGATTGGTTCCCTATTTGCAACCTTGCTCAGGGCTGTCCCCAGGTAATTAATGTTAAACCAAAGCAGAGATGATGGGCTCAGTTCTTGCAATACCAGCCTGGATCATGAAATAACCTGCCACTTCCCTCCAGCTCATGTCATTACAAAACTAAGCATCTGTTTGCCTTACAAATACACTGCTTTCATGCTCACCAAGAGAACTTGCAAGTGTAACACTTCTTTCTGGTTTGGTTTAAGTGGGAAAATGACAACTACCAGCATCTCTTCTGTGGCTTCATTTACCTTCCACATACTCACTTTTGAGCCCAGTTTGGGGTTGACTTTTAAGCTCCTCATTCAGTGTGTGTGCTAATGGCAGGGGCACATGCAGCTCCACATGCTGAGCTTAAACCCCATCAGATTCTGCAGAAATAGAACAGAACTGGGGGTTACAGCCTCTGCTGAGGCTGATCAAGAGGTTTCCTTTTCTCACAGTGAAAACCGCTCTGTGCTTGCACTAAATATATCTCTTAACATACCTGTTTTCCCCTAGCAGGGTAAAGGGAGGACATTCACCTCCCTCTGTCCAAACAGGCTCAGCAGCCCCGCAGCCACTCTGTCTGTGGCTGTGATCCAACGCCATAGGATCCCAGACTGGTTGGGGTTGGAAAGGACCTTAAGATCACCCAGTTCCAACCCCCTGCCATGGGCAGGGACACCTCACACTAAACCCACATCACCTAAGACTCCATATCCTCTATGAGGAGCATGCTTGCGCTCGGTGAGGTCGGTGCCTCTCACACACAAGCAAATCCCATTATCTAGGAACTTTCTATAGCTCAGAACACTCGAGACAAGCCTGCCCATGGCAGGTCCGCTCAGCTGCTCCTCGTTTCCCCAAGGCGAAGTAAAGCAAAGCACCTGGGTTACTCCTGGCCAGTAGGAGCTGCTCTCCCCTAAGGAGTCTCTCACCTTCAAGCAGGGACAAGATGACCCTGCAGAACATCATTCCCACCCGAAACACCTGCAAACGCTTTGCGCATCAAAAGCCTGGTTCTATCGATCTATAAATCACACCATTTCAGCCTCCAAAGCTCCTAGAACCTGCGTTTTGGCCCATGGCTGATAACCGCGGCAGGCCCATCTGCGGGCTGGGAGCGGGGCGGAGCGGAGCGGGCCCTGACGAGGCTTGTCGGGGCGGAGCGGAGCGGGGCCTGGCGGAGCGCTCGTTCCCCTCCGCCGACACCGCCTTATCCCGGGGCGCTGGGCTGAGGAGCGGCCGGTTCCTGGCTCCCCACCGCCGCCCGCCATGCTGCGGCTGCTGCTCCCCTTGGCCGGGCTGGCGGCCATCCTCCGGGCCGCGGTGAGTCCCTTGCCGCTTCCTCCGGGGGGTTCGGGGCGGCCCTGGGGGCTGCCGGGCGGACATGTCTGCCCGCGGGTGGGGGAGATAACGCGGTCCGTTTCGCATTAACCGGCTCCGGTGGTCGCGGCTGGTGTTACCCGCGGCCGGGCCTTGTCCCGTGAGGCCTGGGCCGCGCTGGGACCTCGCTGCCGGTGCTGAGGAGGGGCGGGCGGTGCGGCCTTCGCGTACCCCATGGGAAGCTGGCTGTGGTGTGGTGTGTGCAGGGAGAGGAGCCTGGCCTGCGCTGCCCTGGTTCCGCGGCCACGCTGCTGCTGTGGTGTGTGCAGTGGGTGCCATAGCAGGTGCCCGGGCACGTCTTCTGTCCCTGTATCTGCTATGGGAGCCTTGTCGCTGGTGGCTGGAGCTTGAAACCCAGCATCGATGTGCCCTTAACAGGGGCTGGGTAAGGCGCAGGTTGCCCAGAGAGGTGGTGGGTGAACCATCCCTGGAGACATCCCAGGCTGGATGTGGTTCTGGGCAACCTGATCTGGTTGAAGATGTCCCTGCTCATTGCAGGGGGTTGGACTGGATGAGCTTTGAGGGTCCCTTCCAACCCAAACCATTCCAGGGATTTGCTGCAGTGGGAGGTTGTAGAAGCAGACTGGGTTTTACAGGTCCCAAATGAGGATTATCCAAATTAAAATATATTGGGTTAATAAAACAATCCGAAAGAGCTCAGCCAAGGATTTGCCTTCCAACATCCCTGATATAGGAGCTTTATCAGCTGGAGTGTGAGGAGAGCAGCCACAGACAGTGGCTGGGATCAGGCTGTTCCCTTAAACAGCGTTTCTTATTGCTGTTGTCCAGACGGAATGTGGCCTGGTGTGTCGAGGAGCTGTGGGCTCAAACCAATAAGGCATTTCTTATGTTCTGATCTTCCTGCCTCCCCTGATTTGCTGCAGAGGCATGTGTGTAAAACAGAGTAGTTTTGTCCCAGCTGCAAGGGCTGATGATTCTCTATCACCCCCCAGCTCCCTGAGCAAGCACTGAGGGAAGGGGTCTTGTTAAAACTTGGTCTAGTCCTCAAAGTACAGCAGGGTCCTGTCATCACAGAGGTGCTGATGTGCTTTGAAATGAGCTTGGGGAAGTGCGTGCTGCAGGTAAGCAACCTGGCAAACTGGGTTTGTAGACTAAGGGGCTCAAGCTTGCTGCAGGGCACCACAGGGCTGCTTTTGTGCCCTAGTTCTGAGGTATTTCTGGCTGTTAAGATGACTAGAGAAAGAGAAAGCGAAGTGTGGGCTGGGAGAGAGGAAGGGCTTTGAAAGCGTGTGTATGCTGCTGCATGGCTTTAAATAAGGCACTTTGTCATCTCAGCCTTGTCTCTACCATATATTATGAAAGAGCAGTAGGTTTATTTTAACTAGAAATGTGCAGACTTTAGCAGAACCCCTATGAACTCTGTGCAAAATACAGGGCAAACAGGGAATTACGGTGGGATTCAAACATAACTGGTGCTTGCTTATTTACTTTCAGTCTGAACCAGTGATGTGTTAGACTTAGTGCTCCCTTCTGCAGGAGCAGTGTGTGATGTTTTAGTCCCTTTTCAACATAATTGCATCTGTTAGACAAGGATACGCATGAGTAGCTGTTGAGCCTTGGGAGTTGTATGTGTAGTGGAAGTGAGCAGGAGGTGAGTAGCCAAGCACAGTGTGGTTTCACTGGTCCTACTGATTCTGAGGGCTTTGGGGAAATGCTATTCACAGCTGGAGGCAAAGATACCTGTGGATGATGCATCTCCTAGATATTCTGGTCCCGTAGTTGCATCTGATGCTGTTCCAGTAAGGATTTCATTGCTCCTGCAGCAGGCGTTAGTAGAATCCCTTGCATTCAGTGAGGATGATGTGGGGTGATACCTGCTTTTGAGATGGAGCTGGCTGCTTGGGCAGAGCAGAAAATGTGTGTGTGTGAAGTTAACAACAGAGCATCTTAGTCCCAGAGCATGTGTGAGGCTTACAAATGCTGTGATGATTGTTCCCAGACTTGTTGCATCACTGTTGTGATCTGCTGCTATCTACTATAAGGAAGTCTTAATGAGGAAGGAGTGTATTAAAAAGTAAAAAGGGGTAGAAGGAGTAATTGAGGGAGGCAGACAGAGAGCTTGAAAGGGGACTGCCAGAGTCCAGTGTTTTCAGTTGTCTGATTTATTCCACACCAGGAAGTCTCCTCTCTGTCTCTATGATAGTGATTCTGCATGACCCAGTCTCTCGTACACATACAGAGTAACAGTCCTTCGTTGCAGGCTGGGAAAAAGGGAATGTCTGTGCTGTTTTAAATGGGCTGATACTGGTTCCTGGTTGCAGGCTTTGTTGACCCAAGGCATCCCTTCATAACCACATTATTGCCTGCTGGAGACTCCTGCAGAACAAAAGGGACCGGTTGGGAAGCCAAGATGATCTCCTTCAAGCAAGCATCCCTTGAAGCAAAGGCTGCAGTGGCTGCAGGAGTGGTTTTCCTCTCCATGATGCTGTCGCGGAGTTACCTGTCAGAGAAGCTTGACCTCAGGATGCGGCGCTGGCTCCTGAGGCTGCAGATGGCACTGTTTGCTAATGCACTCATGTTGATAGGATCTCTTCACGTGTGGAGAAGTGTAGTTACCACCTTCTCCAGGGCTTCGTTTGCCAGCTCGTTCTGTTTCATGCCCTGGAAAATAGCTGTGTTCATGTTTCTGGCTCTGGCTCATTCAAGCTTCTTCACGATGCTGTTTCTTGTTGCAGAAGAGCCCTATTTATTTTCTTTAGCTGCCTACACTTGCCTGGGGGCCTATATTATTCTGATGTTCTTCCTTTTCACTCTAGGCTCTGTAGAGCAGGCTTACAAGTTGTTAACTGGGAAGGGCACTAAGGCAGGCCCTGGCCACAAGAACAGACCAGCAATGAAACCAGTCTTGGCAGTGCTGCTGACTCTTGTGCTGACTCTTGTGGGGCTGTTAAATGCCTCCCAGCCTCCTGCTGTGAATTCGGTGGAGGTTCCAGTTCACAAGCTGTCCTCAACAATGAATAACCTGAAAGTGGTGTTGCTTTCAGATATCCATCTGGGGCCTACAGTTGGGAAGACCAAGCTCGCCATGATTGTGAGGATGGTTAAGGCTTTAAAACCAGATATCACTGTGATTGTTGGGGACCTGACTGACTCTGAGGCAGAGATCCTCCGACCTGCTGTTGAGCCTCTTGGAGAACTTGCCTCTCCTCTGGGGACTTACTTTGTGACAGGAAACCATGAGTACTACACATCAGATGTTAGCAACTGGTTTGAGCTGTTAAAATCATTTAACATTCGACCGCTGCATAATGAGAATGTGAAGATTGTTTCACCACGGAGCACTGAGGACTGGTTCTGTCTGGCTGGCGTTGATGATATTGAAGCAGATGCCTTGCACTACTCGGGACATGGCATGGATTTAAAGCAAGCCCTGGAAGGCTGTAGCAGTGAGCATGCAATAGTGCTGTTAGCTCATCAGCCTGTTGCTGCCAAGTGGGCCCTTCGGGAGAGACCAGACATCAACTTAATTCTCTCTGGCCATACTCATGGAGGGCAGATTTTCCCGCTAAATGCTGGAGCTTATTTGCTGAATCCATTCTTTGTTGGCTTATATAAAGTTGGGCAGAACACCTTTGTGTATGTCAGCCCGGGGACGATGTACTTTGGAATACCCATGAGGCTGGGCAGCAGAGCTGAAATAACAGAGATAATTCTCCGTTCTCCTTGAGGAGTTTTCCATTTGACAGACTTGGACCATCCTTTTTGGTCAGTATCTTGGCTCTTTTGCTCTGGAAGCCCACCCTGTTTCAGGGAAGCTGCAGAAGATACGTTGGGGTGGACTTCAGCAGGTTCTGTTAAGTGTGAGCAGAAAACACCAAATGTATGTTGAGCCTACAAAACAAATGGGGGCATTTTAAAATACTGAGGAAATTAATTTTTGTCTTTATTATTATTATTGAGGTTCTGCATTTAAAGATAGCACTGATGTGACAGACAATATGTCCTGTGCATGTTCAGCATTATCTGTGTCATGCAGCTGCTTCATGTTCCATCGTTATCCCGCTGTTGGTTATCCATCAGGAGCTGCCTTCTGCAGCCTGAGGCAGGTGAAGTTCTCATCTCTTGCAGTGAAATCATTTGTGCATGTTTTGCAGAAGCGATTGAAGAGTATCCACAAAGTCTGTAAACTCAAGAAGCCTTTTACTAGGAACGTTCTGGGAAGGGAATGTCTGCAGCATGCACTAGGGCTTCCAGTCTGTGTTGTTACCAGTACTGTAAGTTGCCATGCATCAGTCCTTGAAATCCATATTTTCTAGTTCTAAAACTGGGGAGACTGATACCAAGGGTGAAGCAGATGTGTTTCTGCAGGCATTTCCCCCCAGAATAACTGGGCATCTGATCATTACTCACTGAAAACAGCTCTCATAAAAGCAAATAAGAGAAAAGACTTGGAATCGCCAAACTTCTCTTGCTGTCTGTGCATACAGGACCTCCTATATAAAGCAGAGAATCCAAAGCTGAAATAGTCTCTTTTCATTCTGCACGTTTTTGCTGATGCTCAATTGATCTTCTGTGATTTTTCTCCTAACAAGAGTAAGGAGGTGCTGTTTGAAAACAATGCAGATGGATTAATGCTTGAATTTTGCTTGAGGTTTTAATATTTCAAGTAAATGGTGCCCTATTTGAGAATACTGAACTCTGCAGCAGGTGACTTCTCCTTAGCAGCATTTGTTTATCAATGTCCTGGTTGTCTGGTAGGCACATAGCAGAGCAACTGCTACAGAAAAATGAGGGATGGAGATCTTCTGTCTGTCTTTCCAAGAAGCTCTTAACAGAAATCTGTATAATTCTGAGCATATAATTCCATGCAATTCTTGCTTTTTTATCTCTGTTTTCGTATAAGAAAGCCATGATGTAAATTCATGTGTGTATCATCCGGGATGATGAAGCAGTTGACTTGTGCGCATCTTCCTCTCTTTTACCCTTCAACCCTGGTGTTGCTGTATGAAAACTATGAACAGTGCAAGTCTGGGAATCCTGCCTCGGAGGTCTGTAGCTGCAGGATGTCCCTTGCTTTGCCCTTCTGCCCAGCAGTACCTGGGTTCTTCTCAAGCATAGCCACGTAGCATGGGGCAAAAGAGATAGGTGCTTACACAGGAGACTGAGGATGGCAAGACCAGGTGGTGTTCAGTCTTTTCCTGCTTTCCTTGTGATCCTGAACCAGACACACTGCTGGTTTGTTCTTCAGCTGCTGTTGTCCTTTTGCAGGAGGAATGTGGGGTGTATTTGAACAGTGCCACAGGCTTTGGGAAGTTGAGCTTTTCTGTCTGTGACATTTCAGTTTCACTTCATCCACTGCCTTCAGACACCCCTGCCCTGGCAGAGCTTCTGACTGCTAAGCTGGTTTTGTATCCTCTTCCTCTCTTCAAAAGCTTTCATTTTTACTACAGGAATAATGAGAAATAGGGCAAGTGTGTCATGTGCTGGAAGGTTGGTGCAAGACTTGGAGGAGTCAATGAAAACTGAGCACCTCATTAGCCAGGCTCCTTACTTGCTGGACTAGATAATTATTGTTCCCCAGCACTTATGACTTTATGAACTTCTTTATGCTTGTGCAACAATATCTGCTTAATTATCCTGAAGTTTACACATGTATTTAATGCTACCCATATGGGATCCAGCTGAGGTTCTCTCCCATCAGTAGTGTAGTGTCAAAGGGTCTTATGTGGAGAGAATCTTGATAGCCTGTAACCCTCTCTTGTCACCATGCCTTCAGTTAAAAGCAGTATTCTGGGCTTAGTAGTGCAGAGGATTCACTCTAGGCCAGTGGTCCAGGAGGATAGCTTGTCACTTGTTAGGCTGAGGGTTAAGCTTTAACACAGTAAACAGTTACGTATTTATTAGATGGAATACATTTTTAAGCAAGTTTCTTCATCAGGATGCTTTTGTGGGACTGGTTTTAGGCAGTACTAGGTTCCCAGTGAGCTGCAAGTATTATTTTTCTCTTCTCTATCCTTGTTACTTCTCTCTTCACTCTGTCCCACTGTGTGCAAAAAACCTAGCTGAAGTGGGCCTTCCATCACAGGGGTGCATAGATGCCTTCTTGGTTACTTTGTCTGTGCATCTCTTAGAAGATCTCTGTGTATCCTTTCAGGATCAGATGTGCATCCTTTTAGGAGTGGTCATATTATCATTTCATGAATCTGTTGAGTACTGCCAGTGGAATTTAGTTCTTCTGTGTTAGTTTCTTTCATTCTCTCCCTCTGAAACCTTGATGGTTATCACTTCACGTGGCTTCTTTCTGTGCCAAAACACTTCAAAGCCTTTTCCTGATTTGCCTTTTTCTTTTTTAAGCAGGGGTGGAAAGGATTCTAGATCAACTTTGGTTTTGATAGTAAGAAGAATTAACCTCTTGTGAAATCTGACAGCAATCCCTCATTATCCTTCAAGGCTTTCTCCATACTTCTCCCCATTTGACTTGAATATTCACCATGCAGACCTATGTTCAGTATTCCAGATGGGAAGAAAATTGCTGTGCTGCTTTTTTGTTTGTAATGATGTTTTATTTGGTGTGTATGGAATGTATTTGATTTAGAGAACTTAAATGAATATATATTTCTTCCTAAAATGGCCAGTTGAGGGGTTGGGAAGAAGTTAATCACTGTAAGAATAATACCAGACTAGAACAGTATTATCACTCTGTGGAAGTTATATTTATTACATTAAATAATCAGTATAGAGTGGATTTGAAAATATGTAAATTGTGGTATAACAAATGCTTTAAATGTTGGGATTTAATAAAACTTGATTTGCTTATTAAGAAAGATGCCTCTGAGGACCTTTTCTTTTGTACCAGTATTTACTGTTAGCAGTTCATGGTGAATTGTTCTAACACACTAGTTCTGCTTGCCAACGGAAAGGTGCTGACGATAGATGCGAGTAGTTTAGGGAAGTCTTGCACCAGCACTGTGGGGCATGGTGGGAAGTGGGAAAGGTAAGGCCACTTAAATTTGCCTCATGCCTCTCCTAGAGGGAAGAAGTGCAGTTTGAAGAGATGAGGATGTGATGTAGAGAAATGGAACGCTGCAAGGGCACAGAAAAGATGATGAGAGGACTTTTGGGGAAGGAGCAGAAGAAAATGAGTGGTTTGTGTTTATCAGTTTTGATACTTGAGCTTTAGGATAAAGTAAGGGGTGTTCTATGGTTGAATGGTCTCCATAAGAGATGCTAGACTTACTCGTGGGTGGAAGGGCTCATTGAAGATTTGTATCCACATTTGTTTGCTTTCCAAGTAGGGAAAAACCCCATGTTTTGTAAATCTGGAGTTAAATAGTTTTGCATGCTGAAGCTATTCATTTTTTTCCTATGGTGAGGGGCATACACATCCTAAAATGTTCAAAGAATATTAAGGCTGCACAAATAAGTTCTTATTTGATTTAAGGTAGAACAAATCCTGTAGTTCCTTTCCACGTGTGTATGTTCTGAGCATGTAAGATACAACATTATACCATTGCCTCCAAGGGTCTGGATTTTCAGCTGGGCATTAGTGTGATGTGGCACGAATGACCTGGCATCCTAAAGTGCGCACTGAGTTTGTGTCTGTTGCATGTGCTAACTGGCCTAGCAGACCTGCTACCCCATCTTCTAGGGAGAAGGAGTGGGAATGAATTCCATGCATATTGATAATGGTGAGTACACAGCATTAACAGAGCCAGGCATAGATTCATGATGAGAACAGCTTTGGTTGTAAGCCCTGGTCTGCAAGCAACGGCTGGAGTCATGCACTGGCAATAAAAGGATGTTGAGTAAGTGAATGTGAAGGGATGTTTGTTACAATGGGCAATAAATGAGATGAGTGAGAGAAGGTGTTCTGGAAGCTTCCTCCTTCTCCTCACCCCTGTAATACTACTGTAGCAGGTAGTGTATGTGTAAGAAACGTGATGTACAGTTACAATCACAGCTTTAAAAGTGTGGCTTCTAAAGGGCAACTGGTTCAGTGATGATAAACATAACTAATACCTTCTTCTCATAGTTTTATGACAAGTCTTATTTCTCTGCCAGAGGTGTGTTTCCCCTGAGGGTGTTGATTCAGTGTTCATAATCTCCCAACAGTTACCTGCTATGAATGGCACAGTGTCTTTTCCATAGGCCTCTGTAGTTAGACTGAATGAGGGGGCTAAAATCCTCTTTCAGAGGGAAACAGCAGAGACTTATTTTTGACTCTCCTCCTTTATTTCCAAGGATAATGGCCTTTCAATGTGCTTTTTCCTTAATGCTGCTTTATTTCTTTTAACAGCGTTGCAGAATTGTGTTGCTGTACCTGAGTTGTGCATTTCATTTAGTCCTGATCATTTTGAAGCTCTCAGTTCTGCACTAATGCTGTGATTTGGTGCAGTGCCCTAGAGTAAAAACCATGCTTGGTGAAACATCTGCTTGGTGTTCCTAAGGGTGAATGGTTTCCTTTGGGGATATGCACAGTACAATCCCATCCTAGTATGGCATGCTCAGGAATCGAGAAGCAGGTTATAAATTAAAGGTCAGCAAAGCAATCAGATGTATTTGAATTGAAAGGAAAGTAAGCAGATGGTACCTACCTGTGCCTCCTCTGCAGTGGTGATTTACTTGGGGTTTAACAGTCTGGAGTTACTACAACAGCATAATTTCCCACGAAGAATCCCAGCCTTTGAGTTGTTCCAGAGCAGTTGGCTGGTATTTCTCAGCTCTGTGAGGTCCTGATTTTGTGGAGACGTGGAACATCCATGCCTTTGAGTAAAGATTTATTTCAACCTTCATGGAACTCTGTGTTAATATTAAAATGGGTCTGTGTTTGTGGGATCAGGGGTGTAAAACCTTCTGCTGTGCAATACTTGTCAGTCCCTTGCAGTTCTTCCCTGTGAGGGTGCTGAGGCGCTGGCACAGGGTGCCCAGAGAAGCTGTGGTTGCCCCATTGCTGGCAGTGTTCAAGGACAGGTTGGACACAGGGGCT